GGTTCTTGACTTCATTAAAAAAAAGTGAAAAAAAAAAAAATGAAATCTTGAATAGTCTTCTTGGTAGCTTTAGTAACGATTAAAAATAAATCAAAAAAAAAGGAAGTTAAAATATTTTGTAGCAATCTGTCTTTTTGGTTACTTAAAACGTTTTGTTTAGAAAGAGACTTCAGATAAAACTTTTTTTTTGAAGCAATCTGTCGTTTTACTTATTTAAAACGTTTTTTCAGAAAAAACCTTCAGATAAAGCTTTTTTTTTCTAAAACGCAACGATTAAAAATCAAATTTATCCAATCAAAACTTGAATAGCATAAATTTGAAAAAAAAGTTGCGTAACTTTATACGCAAAGAAACTTTTGCAATGACTTTTATTTTTTATATCTTTAAATTTTTAAATTGAAGTAGAAGGTCAACCATAAAACATAAGCAAAAACTGAATTGTTTTTTGAACTTTTCTCAAAAAATTAATCAGGAATAACTAGTTAAACAACAAATATAGAATTTTTGACCCCCCCTAATATTACGATCGTATTGCATTTTGAGAACTCGAATACGCATGCGTGACTTTACAAAGCCTTATGTTGCTTTTTTGAGAATTTAATGTAATATTGTTAGATTTCACAATTTAAAAATATTACATGGTTTAACTTGGGATGCATTTAGTTAAATAAATATTAAATAGATATTTTTTTATGACGGTAATATTTTATGAGTGTGAATTACAAGTAGACTTTGCTTGAATTTTTCTTACAGTTTTTTAAGTAGGTTTTTTTTTTCAGAATTTTGTTAAATGATTTTTCTATGTATGTTAGTATATTTAACAATAATAATTTTATATTATATAAATATAAAACATATATTATCATTATATATATATATATATATATATATATATATATATATATATATATATATATATATATATATATATATATATATATATATATATATATATATATATATATATATATATATATATATATATATATATATATATATATATATATATATATATATATATATATATATATATATTAGTGTCTTCTGTTGCTTAGGAAAATTTCGGAAATTTTTATGCTTGTTACGCTTTTCTCATTAGAGGTTTTTTAAACCATCAAAATAATATTTGAAACAAAGAAAGAAAAAAGATTGCTACCCCATGCCAAACCTTCAGTTGATGTAGTAGCACTTCCTTGTAGCAGCAGACTATAAGATAGTTGATGAATGTAGTGAAGCCAATAAATCTTGTCTGTTTATATTAAAAAGTCACCATTTTAAGCATGTCTCCACGCGAGATCGCAACAAGCGAAAAAATAAAATTATTTTAGGCTGCGTAACTGCAGATTTATCGCTTTTCAACAACCATGTGATTCAAAGAGTTTGAATATTGTTCATATTAAAAAAAGTATATCTGTCTGATAAATGTATAATAAATAAAGCAGATTTTTCATGTAAAGTTATATGCATGTTGTATAAAAATGGATTTGTGCTTGCACCTTTAGTCCATGATATTGTTTTGTAGCACAAAAAACTTGATATCATGTGTTGGTAAATAAATTTAAATTTGTTTTTATTTAAATCCTTAAGTTTAATTCTTAAATAAAGCTTGTTATGATTTTTTAAAAAAGAGTTACCAAAAAATTAATCTAAATTAAAAATCTTAATTTTATATCAAATTATTTTTAAAAATAATTGTTATAAAGAAAATAGTACTTTTAAAGGCTTTTTAAAGATTTTTGGTAAAACTAGGGCCCTGTGAATTGGCAGTTTTTGTTTCGAATTGAATCGGAAATCAAAGCAGGTCTTGATTCGCAATTCAAATCACATTTCGAATTAACATTTTGAAGTCTAAGTTTAAGTGTTTTTTATTTAATAATATATATTTTAGAATAAAATAAATAAAACAATTAAATAATCTCTTAATTGATGATTTTTGCCCTGGTTAACCTTTTTAATGACTGATTAAAAAGGTGTTTAAGGATAAGTAACATTATTTTGATAGCGCCAAGCCCAGAATATCTAAAATACCCACAACAAAAACAAAATAAGCAAGTATTCGATTTTTGAAAATTTTTGAATCGTAACTTGAATCATATTTTTGATTTGATTCAATTCAAAATTTCAAAATTTTTGCAGGCCCATAGGTTAAACATTTTAACACTTTAATTTCAATATAATTTTCACTAGGCAGCTATATAATGTATAAGTTAATGTTGTAATTTTCTTATAGTTAATTCACACTAACAAATATTTTATGTATGAGAATAAAAAGTGTTGTTTTTAAAAATAAACTTTTCCAGTTTATAAAGTATAGTAGAGCAAGCAAAATGTACATTCGAGCTGTTTGGATAGAAAATAGAGAGAAATAGAGAGAGAAAATACGATTGATAATTTTTTGTGTTAGCCATCATCATTAAATGTAATAAATTGTTTCAATGAAATGCATGAACCGCAGTCTAACTAATAAAGATTTAAGCTGCTCAAAATTAAATGTTGTGGAGATAATATAATTTTGTTTATAAACATCAAGTCATTACTTTTTTTCTTTTCTTCTTTAAAATGCTCTATTTCTGTATATGTTGTTTTTAGTGTTTAAGATATATTTTTTATTATATAATATATTTAAAACAAAGTTTTAAATTGAATGATTATTCTTAGATCATGAGTTATGTGATAATTTTGAATTTGCCACTTCTTGTGATACTCAGATAGAACTATTTTAAAAGATTTAAACTTAAGTTAAAAATTTATTCAAGTATTAATAGTTTTATTTTGATATTATTTATTATAGAAACCACTACCATTCTTATGCAAGAGAAAACATAATCCAACCAAAAATAACCAACAGAATAGTAAGCAAGTACCTACTCCTTTAACGCCAAAAAAGAAAAAGAAAACGCCTTTTAAACATACTCCGCATACTGTAGCTCAAGGTATTAATTGTCTGTCTGCAAGTTGTTTTAGGAAGAAAAGATTCTCAATGTTTTTTTCAATGCTTCAGTAGTTAACACATTTTATTTGTTGTTAATTAGTATATTTTATATATTTAATAAATGTTTTAAAATTATTTTTTTATTGTTAACTTTTATTTGTTTGTTATGACATTTTATTTCATTGTTATGACATTTATTTTCATATTAGCAGTTAGTAAAAGCCATTTTATTTCTAGTATTCTAGTATTGATTCTTTTTTTACATTGATTGGTTTACTTTTTGATCTTAAAGATATTTAGATCAGCAATAGCAAGATTTTCCTGAAGAAAGAGAGGATTTTAAAACAGTGGAAAGCCAAGATGGCGTATGTGTTTTTCCGCAGAAAAGAAAAAAGTTGTTTAGCCAGAGACACCTGCATTATTTTCTCTTATAAGAAAAGCTACTAAAAAAGATTCCTCATCAAATGGAAAGTCTCCTATTACTGAGTAAGGTATGTGAAATATTTGGTATTTATTTTGGTATGCATTCATTTTATTAATTAGTAAAAAAAGCATGTAATTATTTTTAAGACATTAGAAAAAATATATTTTTTGAAAATCCAATAATTTTGTTTATTTTATAAATAAATATTTTGAAGCAGTATGTTTTGTTTTTGTTTTTCGATGCTTTAAGAAATTAATTAATGTTTGGTTCTTTTGTGTTCTTGTAATAACTTTATTATTTTAGAATATAGAATAGAAATTTAGAAGAAAGTTATATATGCAGTGTTAGAAATGAAAGAGATGTTAGTAAAGCTCTTTCCAGTAGTTAAAATAATATCATGACAAATAGTCCTGAAATTTGATGGATGAATTTGCAGCAGTCATTTAGTGATTATGATAACAGTTTAAATGATTTTCGGGTGAGATCTGAAGGTAGGTTATTTCAAACCATGGTTTTTTGCAGCTTTTTTGTTGTTTTTTTGGGATTATGTATTTGCTTAAGTTAATCTACTTGTAACTTATTATAAATGTACTGTAAAAGTAATGTAATGTAATTATTTTCTTAACCCTTTAGGGATTATGATAACAGTTTTAACTGGTGATGTCTGAAATGGTAGGTTTTTTTAAACCATTACTTTTTGCATTTTTAATCCATTACTTTTTTCACTTTTTAAATGTTTTTTTATTGATTATGTATTTGCTTAAGTTAATCTATTTGTAACTTTTTGTAAATGTACTATAAAAATATTGTGATATAATTATTTTCTTAAACCTTTAGGTTAACAAATTTTCTAAAATAATTGGTAAGAATTGGTTACAAAAAATATGATGCAAAGGTTAGTAAAAGGTTTTGAATAAAAAATCTTTTGCATCTAGTTATTATAACTTGTGATAAAAATATGTTAAACTTAGTATTTCTAAAAGTTTGACGAACTCTAATCAGACATAAAATAAATCTTTTTTTTTTATTTATGTCTGATTAGAATTTGTTTTTTGATTTTTTTTTTTTTTGATTTTTTTTTGTATTTCCTTGAGTTAAAGAACAGCCTTAAAGTACAAAAGTTATTTTGTAACGCATACTTAACTTTTTTTTACTCTATATATATACATACATATATATGCACATAAATAAACATACATGTATATGTATATATGCATACATATGCATATATAAATATATATATATATATATATATATATATATATATATATATATATATATATATATATATATATATATATATACATATATATATATATATATATATATATATATATATATATATATATATATATATATATATATATATATATATATATATATATATATATATATATATATATATATATATATATATATATATATATATATATATATATATATATATATATATATATATATATATATATATATATATATATATATTAGGACCCTGCGAATCAGCATTTTTAGTTTCGAATCGAATCTCGAATCGAACCAGGTCTTGATTCTCAAATCGAGTTGAATCAGCATTTTAAGGAAACCTAAATTTAAGCATTTTTTCCATAGTATATATTTCAAAAAATAAAAGATCATATTCACCAATTCTATTCTTTGCAACAGCTTGAAGTTATTTAAAGGCACTCAACATTTACACTGCATTTCACTTCACATTAAAAATAAAAAAGAAATAAAACATCTTTTCCTTGTAAAATAAAAAAGAAATAAAACAATTTTTTGATAAAATAAAAAAGAAAAGGGTTAAAATATAATATCTTTATTTTTTTGCGCTAAAATTAATGTTTCCGCATTATTATTAGATAGAGAATGACGTGAATAACTTATTACATGACCACCAAATGAGTTGACTCTTTCAGAATAACAACTTGTTTCTTGTACAGCTAATACAGATTGAGCCGCCTGTGCAAGAACAAGGAAAATGTTCTCGTTTTTTTTCCAGTATTCTAAAGGGCAATTATCACTGTTTATGGTTTGCGAACAAACGTAGATATCCATTTCCATAACTATGCAATCTTCAATGCTTTTTTTTTGTAGAATTTTGCTGTTTTTCAGATTTTTTTTCTTTAACTTGATTAAATACAGTGTCAAGTAAATTTTTGGTAGTTTTTCAATGTTGTTGTTATTTAAAGAACTTAAGCAAGGAATTATTTTGCATAGCTTAAAATCAACTGACATTTCAATTAGACGGTTTTTCACAATTAAAAGCTCGTTTTCAGTGTGCATTATGGCTTTAACCTTCGGGTCTAAATATGTTGAGGTAAGTAGCGTAACATTTGCTAAATTAAAACATGCATGTAGTTGCGAAAGTAACTCCTTTTTACAGCTGCTCATAAAGCTACAACTTAACGAATCTAATTGATTTTTGAAAATATAAATGCAAGGTTTAACCAAACTAATAGCGACAGTAGTATCAGTACTTAGTAGCATTGTTGCATCCGATATTGGTTTTAAAAATGGAATGCACTTTTTAAAAATATCTTTCATCGCCTCTAATAGAGCTTGAGGAAGAGATTTTGCGCATCTACCACTTAAAGCGCATTCCGTAAGTGCCATTGTTATTGCCGTACAATTTTCACATGACCAATTCAGAAGTTTAAATCTACTGTTAAACCTGGTTACAATATCAAGTGGTGGACAGTATTCTCTAAGTCCTTGTTCAAGTTGATGTTTCTTTAAACATTTTAGACCTATAGAAGTACTGTTGAAAAAATCTGCAATTTTGTGTACCAAACTAATAAGGTTTTTTACTTGTTGTTGAACATTCAAAGCACTCATGATGCATAGTTGAAGAACAGCAGTGGCAGGCATTGCGTTTGTTGTGTCTGTGGTTACACATATAACGTTTTCTATTTCAATATTTGAACATTGCAGTTGACCTCTTTTGTTTTTTGAGAAGTATGATCTGCATTAATATCTTCAAGATTTACCACAGATAAACAACGCGATTTTAGCTTCCATTCTGTTAGAGTTATATAATGTACCGTTAAAACTAAATAGTTGCTATTATTTGTAGCTTTCCAATGATCAAAAGTAATGGAATATTTACAACCTGACATTTTCGCAAGTATTACTGTTTTAAATTTACTTTTCGGCACTGTTTTAAAGTCATTTTTCTGACGTGAAAGAGTACATGGATGGAGAGGTTTATAATTTTTATTACTAAGAGTTGAACACAATTTTATAAAACCCTTACCAGCCGAAGTCTTAAAAGAACGTCCAACTTCAACAATAAATTCCAATAAAGCTTGGTCAAATATTTTCTTTTGTTCTATTGAGATGGGTTTGTTAAGAAAATATTACATAACGCTTTGCTTAGATTTTTTTAAACAAATGCTTTTCAAAACATATGGTTTCGACAATTTGTGTTTTTTTGCATGATCTGTTTCAACTTGAGTATGAAGCGTCTTGTGCTTTCTTTCCAAGTGACTCCAGAGATGTGATGTTGTGCCAGAGCTTTGTACACGTAAAGTGGCTTTGCACGTTTTACTTAAATAAAACTGATCTTTTACTTCAAAGTACGACTTAATAATTCCCGCCATTGCATAAATAAGAAATATAGGTAATTAACTAAATTTAAAATCATTAACAAAAAAATTTTATGCAAAATAATTTGAAATTGTGAACAGTAAGTTACAAATGTAACAAGTAACAGTAAGTTACAAATGTCGTTAAAGCTGTTCTGCTTAAGGTGCAACAACTATACTAACAAAATGAAAATAAATAATAAAAATATAACTTTTAAAATATAAAGATAATATATTTATAAGCAACAAGCTAACATTAGGAACGGTTATAAACTTATGCAAATAATAAACACAGATAAAAAAAACATAAACTTTAGTTTTTTAAATGTTTCTATATAAAGAAAGATATTGTAAATGTTTATTAACATTTACTTATTGTATACTATTTTCTCATTGTGATTATGTAAATGTTTTTTTAATCAATAAACCCAAAATTTATGTGATTTATACTTACAAAATCTGCAAAATACCGGGTAGGATCTAAACAAAAAACAAATTAGACATGCTTGTATAATGATTTAAACACTAATCCACTGATAAAGAAGTATATAATCCAAATATGATAAAAGATAATAATAATGATATATTTTATTATATTTTAAAAACACTAAAATGTTTTTTGCAAAGATTAAACTAATGAAGTATGTAATATACATATTTATATGTGATGTTTTAATAAAATTGTTAACTGATACTAACAGTTGACAATCAATTCAATAGCTTAATAGGCTATTATGAAACACATATAAATAAGTATATTACATACTTCGTTAGTTTGATGTTTACAACAACTTTTTAGACTAAGAAGTTTTTTGTAAACATTAAACTAATGAAGTATGTAATACACTAAGACTAAGTGTTTTTAAAATATCAAATGTTAACCGCGTACCTACAATTATACATTTTATCTGGTTTCCAACGTTTATTTGTAGAATAAACAGTTTGATGAAGAGCAGTTGGATTTTTTATTCTTTTTTTTTATTCCACTGACAAGGTTCTGAAGTTTACAGCCATTATTTGATTTGTTTGTCCGCACGTAGTCTGACACTAGTTATGATAAGTTTTCGTGACGTATCCAAAACACTACGCTATTCGCGCTAATGCAGCCTCCGCTAAAAAACGACAAGTTATTGAACGCAAGCGCAGTTTAGTTATAAAAATTTTAGAATAACTTTTAGAGTTTTAAAATGGCTCACGTTCGTTTACAAGCGCTTTGTTTAGGTACGCATGCGTGAGAAAATGCGAAAATTTTTTGAACTTTTAAAATGGCTATGGTTCTTAACTACTGAGTATATTTTATTTGGCAACCGTGTTATTTGTTATTTGGTCTCTAAAAACTCAATGTTGTAGCCTTATTTTTATGTAGATCAGTATCCCAGCAAACATGTCAGCGTTGAATCAACGTTGAAAACCGGTCGCAAAAGATATTGCGGAATATATCAACCCCAGTAACATATAACCAATATTAACCCCAGTTACATATAAATATATATATATATATATATATATACATACATATACACACACACACACATATATATATATATATATATATATATATACATATATATATATATATATATATATATATATATATATATATATATATATATATATATATATATATATATATATATATATATATATACATACATATATATATATATATATACATACATATATATATATATATATATATATATATATATATATATATATATATATATATATATATATATATATGTATATATATATATATATATATATATATATATATATATATATATATATATATATATATATATATATATATATATATGTATATATATATATATATATATATATATATATATATATATATATATATATATATATATATATATATATATATATATATATATATATATATATATATATATATATATATATATATATATATATATTGTGATCGTCGTAATAGCATAAAATAAGTAATTGTTTTTAAAAATAACACGACATTTTTTAATCTTGAAATGTTTTGTAGTAAACAACTGGAGTTGATATTTGACTGGGATCGGGGCCGGGTTTGATAAAACATAGCCAGGGCCAGGGCCGGGTTTGAGACCAGGCTGTATAAACATTTATACATCCTAAAGTGAATTTTTTAAATTTAAAATTCACGCTATATTTTTTATATATATGCATATATGAACATCATTGTGATCAACATGATCTTCATAATCATCATAACCATCATCATCACCATCATCATCATCATCATCATCATCATCATCATCATCATCATCATCATCATCATCATCATCATCATCATCATCATCATCACCATCATCATCATCATCATCATAATAATAATCATGATCATCATTATCATTAAACAGCATAAAGGCGGAAAGCTTGACAATGATAATAAAAATTATGTTGATGTTGTTGATTGTCATTATGATAATCATCATCACCTTTATTATGGCACTATATAAGGCACACTTTTCAAATTTTTTTACTTCTACCACAACCATTTTATACTGAAGCTGCTACCACTATACCTGTTAATACCTGAATTACTTTAGCTTTTTCTTAAAAAAACAGGTTGTTTGATACAACGTTTTTTCTAATTTGTCTAAGATTATTCCTACTTTTTATATCTTGTTAGAGTCACACCACACATCCATCTAATCATTTTCTCTTTCGGCAAATACTACACCATATAAATACTAAAGTTTATACAACAATGAAAGGATATTGTATGCCAGTATCTAAACAAATAGCATACAAATATGCTTTTACAGGCTTGGTCGGGAAGCGGGAGCGATCGCTCTCGAATACTGACCACGGAAATTTAAGTTTATGTACGAAACAAAGAATTTTTGTTTTACGGACATACATGGAAACATAACAAACTTGAATGTTCTCAAAACATCTTTGTGCGAAAGAATAAAAAGAATATTTGTGTACACTAAAAACCCGCCAAATTAACAAACAAACTAATACTATTGGTTCACAAAATACGCTGATTAAGCGAAATAAAGTTCTAGAGTATTCTGTTAAAATGTTTTAAAAATTGTATTTTTCACGATCTGTTACGTTTTGAGATTTGTAGAATTGTTTTAGGAATATACATTATTTGTTTACAAAAATAAATGTTTTAAATATATATTAATTAAATTGTTAAAATTTTAAAAGTTTATTATAAATCACAGATTTTATTAGTATATTCTTATTTTTTATTTTAAAAGAGATTGTATTCTTTATGTAAATTTTGTGTATTTGTTTTTTATCGTATTGTATCTTTTAAAGCAATTTTTATGATTTAAACAAAGTCTTACAAAAATAATTGCGTTTTTAATAAAGTTATAATCGTTAAAGTTAATAAAACTAATTATGTAACAAACATATAAGAAGTTTCTGGTTACTAAACACAAACAACGCATACTAAGTAACTCGCGGATGAACAAGCATCGCGCCTGAGGTCACGACAGAACACAAATATATAATAGCAAATATTTAGATATAAAGAAAAGTTTCTAGATATTGGTTTACTAACTCTAATTATTTTCGCTTAAGTTGCTATTCTTAAAACTCGTTATACTTTTTTCTGCTTTAAATACTAATTAAAATTAAAAAGCCCACTTACTAAACATCATTAGCGATACTGTGAAGCAGTTTCGCTTCCTGGTCATTAAGTGTTTTTAACCTTTTTAGTTGATTTCTATCTTGATAATTTAATTTCTATATTAATTCAATGATTTAATTATTTCATTTGTTTATCTTACTAAGAAGAATCGCTTCAAATATGTTAAACTTTTCAAACTACGCGAAACATAAAATAGGTATTAAAAATATTAACTTTTTTATTTATAAAGTAAATTAAGCTTAAGTAAAACTAAAACTTTCAAATTTAGTTAAATAAAGAATATTTGTTTCTCTTTTAAACAATCGTAAGTTGTTACTTTATATAAAAAACATCGCTTAATTTTATAAAAAAAATTATAAAAAACCGATGTTTAGAAAATATTTGTTCTAAATGTAATTTATTTAGCTTAAGGTTTTTTCGCGTTTAAAGATATTTTATTTGCCTACATTTTTTTTTTTGTAATTATCTCTCATTGGTCCAATTTATTTTAGTCGCTTTTTTTTAAAATGTTCACAAAACGACTAAAAAATCTGGCCAGCTTTTCGCAACTAAATATTATTTACGTGGTCAGCAAACGAGGGCTATCGCTCCCGCTTCCCAACCAAGCCTGCTTATATCCATAATATGTGTGCAAAAAGTGCATCTTGAAAGCTTATATTGCTTCTGGAATAAAAGCTTGGAAGCTTTTATTACTTCTCTTCAGTTTTAAATCAAGCCTCATTCTACTCTACATCTTTCAACATTAACTACGTTTTTTAGCTTTTTTATAAGAACATCTCTCTTATGAAAAAATTGTCCTTTTTATTATTGCAATAAGCTAATGTATAAATAAAGTCTTGTCTGATGTAAATCTCTGTTATTCTCAGTTTACTAAATCTTGTATCATTTCTTAGATGTTAATTCTAGAGACTTTTGGTTAGTTTTCAACAGTGTTATTAACTAAAGTAAGCCTAACAATTAATCTCCAACTTATGGGTCTCATCTTTTTACTTTACCCCAGAGTAAAGCAGAGCTATTTTCAAGGAAATCTTACTCTAGTTTGACTCTGGAATATAACGGTCATACTCTTCTTGACAGTAAAATATTTTTGCTAATCTTTAAATTAATCCATTGTTAAACATCGAAATTACTCTAGCTTCCAATACTAAAACTAATTCTCAATTAAACACATCTACAATGTGTGCTTCAGACAAGAAAAAAAATTTTGCTAAACTTTAAAAAAGTTCTAAATACGTGATTCCAATTTTTCAAATCTCTAGAAAACACTTTGAACTCTCGAAGTATCCTAGGATTCTTCTTCACTTTGTTATTACTTTCTTATAATTTTCTATGAAAAGGTTTTGAGGTAATTAAATTACTTCTTTCTAACTACAGTAGTGAAGTTATTCTTGAAGGCCTACCCTCTTTATTTCAAGTAACTTAAAGGTTCTATATTTGCTCCTGTAATATTTTTTATCTACAATAACAATCATAATAAAATCAAAAGTGGCTTTATTTGCTGATAACTCCACTTTATACTTTTGTCTTGACAATAAATCTTCACTTCAACAAGCAGCAACGTTTAAATCTGATCTCTCTTCTGTAATAACCTAAGGCTTGCTGTGTCTTATAGATTTAAATTCTTGACTTAAAATCCACAATTTTTGTTAGACAACAAAATTCATTTCTTTACTACAAAAAAATATTACAATATTGTTGGTATTCCTATATTGACAAATGAAAACCCTATAATTATTATAATATATTATATAATAATAATAATAATAATAATAATAATAATAATAATAATAATAATATATAATAATAATATATAATAATAATATTATATATAATAATAACAATAATAAATATATATATAAATATATATATATATATATATATATATATATATATATATATATATATATATATATATATATATATATATATATATATATATATATATATATATATATATATATATATATATATATATATATATATATTATATATATATATATATATATATATATATATATATATTTATATATATATATATATATATATATATATATATATATATATATATATAAATATATTTTTATATATATATATATATATATATATATATATATATATATATATATATATATATATATATATATATACATATATATACAGTAAGTTTACGGTTATTCGAACTGGCACTTATTTAAGTTTTCTCTCTACATATATATACATATGTATATAAGTATATACATATATATATATATATATATATATATATATATATATATATATATATATATATATATATATATATATATATATATATATATATATATATATATATATATATGTATATATATATATATATATATATATATATATATATATATATATATATATATATATATATATATATATATATATTTTGTAACTAAAATTAATCATGTATCTATACATTAATTAACTAAAACTTACTTCAATAGGTGTAACTATAAATCATTAGTTTAAATCATATTACGTACTTCGTTCATAAGATGCAAACCAGTTAAAAGCAAATCATTCCTCGATCTTTGATCCACCAGAACTTTACTAAATAAATTTATACTGGTAATCAAACAACCACAAGTCAAAAAATTTAGACAGTATTACTGAAATCAGCTTTGACCAATAGTTAATATTAAATTTTTATTTATTCTTTACTAAATAAAAAACAAAGAAAAGTTAAATCCAAAGAGAAACAAAATTATTTACAAACATAATTACTTACATTCTTCTTTGGAGTCCTCTTTAGTCGTGAAATTAAATCCTGCACATACTTCTTTACGTATTAGTAATTATTTAGTAAAATAAATACAAAAAAAAGTATGTAAAAACAAAAATGTAGAGTAAGTGTAAGCAGATTACAATTTATATATCTAGGCAGTAATAATACCATAAAGAGATTCAAAATATTAATTATTCCGAAATAAAAATAAAATAGTTTATTTGATATAGTACTTCACCGTTAATATAAAACTATAATAGTTTTTTTATTCATATAAAACAATTAAAATAGCAATAACTACTAAAATTTAATGACCACTAGTTACTTTAACTCTTTTAAGTCTAAGCTTGTTGCAGGAATCAACGATTGGAAAATTATTATAGGTAGCTTTCATTGCATTAAAACAAATTGGCCAAGATAACCATCCATCTTTTTTCGAACAAGCTGGAAACAACTGCCTCTGCTTCAAACCTAATGTATATGTAAATAATGTATATATAAACCTTTATATATACATTCTTTACATATATAAATATATATATATATATATATATATATATATATATATATATATATATATATATATATATATATATATATATATATATATATATATATATATATATATATATTTTTTATTATTTGCGTTCACTCCCAACAAAGCTGCAAGCAACCACTATTAAGTTAAGAGTTACTAGGAAAAAAAAGAACAGAGTTATAGAGCAAGGAAACAGTTGACAGAAGACTTGAACAGTTAAAGATTGTATGAGTCAGGAAAACATGAAGATGGGAGAGAGTTCCAAAGGATTGAAGTGCGGGGAAAACAACTAGATGAATAAAAGTTTTTAGAGCATGCAGAGACAGATACAGTAATTGAATGAGACTTAGTTAAATGAAGAGTAAAACGAGAATGAATTTTAGTTAATGGAACTAGAGATGATAACTCCTTTGAGCAGTGACCATGATAGTATTTGTAGAAAAGAGAAAGAGATGCAACTTTACTACGATGGGAAAGAGGTTCAAGCTTAGCTGATAGTCCAGGTCCAACAACATTTACAATGCGTTTTTAGACCTTGTCAGAAAACGTATTGTAAATTTGAAGAGAAAGTGAATCGTTAGAAGAACCAGCCTAAATATGACAACAGTATTTCATACAGGGACGAATAAGAGATTTGTAGAGGTAGAGAATGGAATCAGAAGTAAAGAAGTGGCGAGCATGATAAAGAGAAGCAATCTAAGCAGAAGCTAATTTAGCAATTGATTGTATATATGATTTTCATGAAAGGTCAGTAGTAAGCGATAATCCAAGAAGACGTAAAGAGGAGGACTCAGTAAGAGGATTGCCATTCATTAATATAGGAATGTTGACCATATTACGGTAGTTGTTTGCAGTAAGCAACTGGGTTTTTTTAGGGTTGAAATTCATAAGCCACTGTGAACCCCAATCCATTACTGAAGTGAGATCGGATTCAAGATCAGCTGCTTGTTCTAGGCGATCGAAAAGAGAAGACTTTTTGTCAAGACAGGAGTATAAAGTTGAGTCATCAGCAAAAAGAGCTACTTTAGATGAAAGTTTGTCAGGAAAATTGTTTATGTAAATAAGAAACAAAACAGGGCCCAGGATGGAACCTTGGGGAACCCCAGAAGTTACTGGATATAAAGAAGAGTGTTGGCCTTCAAGGATGACTTTAATAATATTGAATATGTTAGGTGGTATACTTCAATCTCGCCTATTAATCGCTATCAAAATATTGTTTTTATTGATGAAAGTTCATTTAATTTACACATGTTTCACAGTTATTCATGGGCAAGAAGAGGAGTAACACCAAACCCGATCATTCACCCTAGGCAACGTAACGTTTCGATGATATTGGCCGTCAATGGTTTAAATATTATTCACTGCGAAGCTGTCAGTGTGTCAGTCAACACAGTTTTGTTTCAAGAATATATTGATGAAGTTGTACGAGTTTTGGGGGCAGAGGAAGAATTCACCCTGGTGATGGATAATGTCAGAATCCATTATAATGTTGAGATGAGGGCAGAACATTCAAATAAAATATTTGCCACCATATTCACCATTCTTGAATCTGTGAAGAGATTTTTTTTAATCTTAAGAATAACGTGCAAAGAAATACGAAAAAAATACAAAACACGAAAAAAAAGGCCCCAGCTGGAATAAATGAACTTATTTTAAGAATGCGTGAGGCATGCTTATCTATTCCTAATGTTAACTTATCAAACTATTACTCACACTGCGAAAGCTTTTTCGAAGCGTGTCGTAGGTCGGATGACATACCTCGACAGTAATTGGAAAATAAACATTATATTTTAAATAAATTTAAATTTAAAATTTTTTTAAAAAATCGAATAAAAAAAAATAAAAACCTTTTTTTTAAATAATACAGAATGTTGAGATTGCGCATGCGTTAAATGTTTTAATTGATAATCACGATTGTTTTAATTAAAAATCACATTGTTTTAATTGATTGTCGCGGTGTTTTAAATGAATGTCATGGTTGTTTTAAATGGTTGTCATGATTGTTTTAAATGGATGTAAAAACCGGTATATATATATATATATATATATATATATATATATATATATATATATATATATATATATATATATATATATATATATATATATATATATATATATATATATATATATATATATATATATATATATATATATATATATATATATATATATATATATGATTTGTTTATAAATTTAAGTCTTTTTTCTTTTTTTTTTTTGAGCGTTAAAGCTTAGAATTTTTTATAATTTTATATAGAAGAACCTTTTATTTTCCCATTACTTATAAGCAACCATAGCACTCAAATTTTTTTTAATGAAAAAATACAATTTAGCTACAGCCAAAATGAGAATGCTAAATAGCATTCTCATTTATGAAAATGCTATATAGCATTTTCATAAAGTTTGTTAATAATTTATTTTGTACGCATATAAATATTATGTGTTTAACAATTTGTGTTAAAGATGGTGGTTTAAACCATCTATTTTGAGAGTTGTTGAATTATTTTATTTGGTTGTGCTTTGTTTTTTTTGTACCTAAATTAACAGATTTAATCAACTGAATACATATATGGATTATCTTCTTCTTCATGTTACAAAAGATGCCTTAATTGTGCGGCCGTGGCGCAGTGATTAGAGCACTTGCTTTATAAGCAGAAGATTTAGGTTCAAACGAGCTTTGGACATATTTTCGCGTCACAGTAAGAAAGGAGGCGTAAATTTTCTGGTTAAACGCACTTCCGCGGTGCTCTGTGACAAGACCGTTTGGTCTTCTTGTGCCACCTAAATAAAATGTCTTAAATGTTTTAAAAGATGATACGGTTATTTATAACAATTTATTTACACGGTTATACGGTTTCAAAAATATAAGATTACGACATTTAAAAAGATCTATGTAAACGCATGCACACTAAAAATGTCTGCTAGGGATCGATATTAAACGACCGTGTTATAACTTTCAAACTCTAGAAGCTTCTTAGATAAAATTTAAAACCTGCCGATAAATTTTAAATTAGTGTATAATAGGAAAAAAATATTTTGTCAGAAAACCATTCTCATATTTGTATTAGCTGGGGTATTCTTTTTGGGGTACTTTATTCATAGACTCCAAGAAGTGTGTCTAATGGAGAACGGCGATAAGATTAATTTATACATTGTAAAGGTTTTTTAAACGGCGAAATAAACTAAACTATACATATTACCGCACTTTTTTGAAAAGCATTCTTAATTGAAAAAAGCATGAGGATACTTAAAATGAAGTTAGAATAATGCTTGAAAATATCATTTCAAAACCATCAACGAACAACTCACACAATGACATACCAAGATAAAGACAAATATTATATTGAATGCTTTTTTATTAAATAGAGAAAATATTTAACGCTTTGTAGTGGAGTTTTTTCAACAATGTAACAATACCCCTATTTTTTTTTTCTTTTATTATATATAATAGTATTATGGAGTAATAGAAAATCAATAAATTCAATTTTGGGATTTTTCTCATTTCTTATAATGGCTAAGTTTTTAACGTTAGTTTAAACATTTTTTGATAGTTTGACGTTTCAAAAGTATTTTTTTAAGCAATATCCCCTCATTTTTATTAAACGACTAAAATAACAATCGAATACCCTTTCCAAAAATGATAAGATATCTTGCGGAAACTTTTTATGTTTTCAGGTAAATGTATTTAGAGTGCTAATGACTTTCCACACGTTAAAAGGTCAAAAGTTTGACCTATCATAACACAGCAACTACAAATATAGGAATAGGAAGAAAAAAAAGACTGACAGGTTTTTTTTTCCTATCACTGATAGGTGATTTTTTATGTAGCAATACTGATAGTATCAATATTACTATATAAAAAAATTGAGCGTGATTGAGTCAACGTTATTTTTGTTTTCTTAGAAAATGTCACTTAAATCTTTTTCTTTCTCCGATTCGAGCTTCTCAACAAATTGAAAAAACTTTAAACTATTTATTTGTATATATATATATATATATATATATATATATATATGGTCAGAATAACAAAATTAATTACTATTTTAATATTACTACCGTATTTACGAAATTTAGCAAGAGTACCAAAATGAGGTCTGCGCTTCTTATGAAAGTGATAATTTTTATATTTAGTAGCTATGGATACTTAATTTTGCATAGAAACAACCTGTTTTTAGTAGTTAGAGATTTTTTATTTATGCTACGTTCACTGTGCACGGTTAGTACGAATCCTTATAATGCCTACCTAGCTGTCCCAAGAACGCCACTTATTCGGAAAGTTAGCGTACACGTAAAGGTACCCTGTGATGCAAACTTTGAAATCGTTTAATTTTGTCAACGGAAAATAATTTAACTTGAATGTTTAAATTAAGATGACTGGTGTAGGATTTATTACAATTTTAGTTAAAGTTTTGTCAGTTTTTTGCTACTTATACTTCAAAGCGTTACCGATTACTTTGAAATTTGGTCACTATTTTTAAAATAACGGTTACATGAGTGTTCTACTATGTAATGCCAACAATTTTTGTTATAATTATTATATCGGTACATGTACAGTTTTCATATAGACCAAAATAGTGATTTGGTACTTAAAGCGTGATTTGAATTGGCTTATGCCAATGACGTTGACACGGCCTTTAAAGTGGAGGGGGTCAACCCCTCAATTTCTAAAACAAAACCCATAATTTCTAAAATAATTGCCGATATTTCTAAAACAAAAGGTCTTTGCAAAAAAAAAGTGGGCAGGCCATGGCTCCCTTGACGGTCATGTATGCTTTGCTTGAATATACCAAATTTTCCTAAAGTATAAATTACTGCCAGAATGCAAAAAAAATCTTAAAAAAATGGTTAAGAAGGATTTCTAGGGATATCTATATAGAAAATAAAAATATTTATTTATCTGAAAACAGAACAACTGTGAAAAAACCAAATATTTTTTATATTGACAAAGATAATTGACTTAAAAAATTTAGATAAGTTAACTAAGATATCTGACCAATACAAAGTTTAGAGGGCGGAAAGGAAAGTTGGAGGAAAATTACTCTTACTGAATAACTAATTAGGTTGAAGGGTTATTTTGAAATAAAACAACCCGTGTGACAAGTATAATTAGTTTAATAAGTGTGACAATTATCAATAATGTAATTTCCTTACAAGTAAATAGTTTAAATAATTGTTTCCTGGTAAGGAAATAACCATTCAAGAATTATTTCCTAATAATTTAATATTGCCTCAATTAAATTAAGTAAGTATTTCCTTTAGTTTTTAATTAATAATATGTGTTACTATGTTAAGTGGATTGATATCAAATATAAATTTAGGTCAAACTTTGTAAATGGCAGAGTTTGATTTAGTTAAGTCATATTAAGTGAATTGCCACGATGCCAAATCAAGCAAAGAATCATGATGAAAACCGAAAGTTTGTGTGCTTGCTCTGTCTGAAAAAATGTTGAAGACAGCTTACTACTTTTCAAGCAGATCGAATATGCGAACTGTACAAGATCAAGATCATTATCAGTGATACTCGGGTACCAAAAGGATTCTGCGATTCGTGTAGAATTACTTTGCGCAGAAAACAATAGGGGAAAGAACTTTCACTCCCTCCTTTGTTTGATTTTAAATCAATACAAGTGAGGAGGCACGATGTGTTATTGCCTAATATGCCTAATTGGTCGTTCAAAGCTGCAAGAAAAACATCCTCTTATAGAGCAAACTACTATTGAGAAAAAGCCAAAGGTGCATTGCAGCAATTGCCTCAGCCCTTTAGAAAAAGATTAGCCCCACCAATCCTCTCAAATAACGTTAAGGAAAAACATTCAACTTTTAGCAGCAAAAGATGCCAAATCATCCGAACAAATCGCATCTCGAGTTATTTTCAATAAAGAATTATCTCCGGAAGGAACTATTCTACATGCTAAAGCATCCGGCGGGCCTCCACTTACAGTTAACCCTGGTAAATATTTATACTTAAATAATTTTCTTATATATATTGAAATAAAGTCTTGACTATTAAAAAATAACACTAGATAGATTTCAAAAAGTATAATTTTGACAAAAGACACCATCGAGTGCTCTAAAAATGACCACTGTAGACCTTGTAAATGTGCAATTAAGTACGGGCCTGTCAAATAACGGATTAAAGAAACTTGTTAAAATTACAAACAAAACATCAAGCAGCAAGATGGTAGAGCGAAATTTCTACATGATAATTCTAAGTCTAGGTCAACAATTGAGCGATTTCTTCACCTGTAGCGACTTAAAAATCACAGACTAAAAAACAGATTCTTGCACAGTTTATGTTGTTGCTCACTGCAATGGTTTATCAAGTCTTGTGAATCATGTTATTCAGTCCGCAAAATTTCTGGTTACCTGACCTGTTATGGTCGGAATTGATGGTGGCAAAGGTTTTCTCAAGTATTGCCTAAGCATTGTTAATACTGCGTTAAGGGATGAAACCAGCTCACCGCACTAACAACAACCTCTCACTCAAAGGACTGGTAAAGACACTAGAGTCAAGAGACAAATGCCAGAAACACACTTCAATATTTAACAAATCTGGTCACTGATTAATGCAAATGGAGTTAAATTTTGGATTGTGATATGAAAGTTGCAAATATAATTTGTGGTCTTTAAACTCATTCAAGTACGCACCCTTGCACCTGGTGTGACGTCAAATCCAATTGTCTTGCCAAATCTGGAAACTTGTGAACACTGGGCTCAATTAATTCAAGCCTTGAGTTATTTCGGCAATCTGGCAGGGTTGTTGCTAATGCAAAGCTGTTTTGCAATGTCATTTAAAAGCCAATCATCTGCGGCCCTGTCAATGTTCTGATTTTGGAAACATTCCACCGATGGAATTGCATCTTCTCTTAGGAGTTGTCAACCATCTTTTCAAGATCCTTAATACTGATTGGATAGAAGCTGTTAAGTGGCCAGTCGCCTTCGAAATTCCACTGAGCCCGTATCACGGGGGCTAGTTTGAGGGAAATGAATGCAGGAAGCTTCTTAAAAATGTGGATATGCTGCAGCAATTTGCTGAGACAAACATGGTTCCCAATATTGTGTGTATAATTAAAGCATTCAAAAGCTTCAATTTAGTTGTCAAGGCTTGCTTTGGATACATTCTTCAGCCGGATTTTGCTGAAAAATTGAAAATTTTAAAAAGTGTTACCTAATGATAACTGGTGCAAGCGTAACACCCAAAATTCACGACGCCTTCAACCACATCAAGGATTTTATCAGTCACAAAGGATCCCCCGTGGTGTCCTATAGTGAATAAACTGTCGAAACTTCTCATCAAGATTTTTATCAACAATTGGCAAATTCCCTTATACCTCAACCAAGGTATAAGCGAAGTAATAATCATCCAGAGTACAAAGAAAGATTGTTGCGCTATATAATTGATCTAAACAGTAAGCATCTTAAAGAACATCATTGGAGTTATTAGAAAATAGGCTGCTGAAAATCATATTTTACGGCGTATAATGAATATTTTCACCATTTTTAAAAGTACTATTATAGAGTATTTGTATTAAAAGAGTACATTGATTTATTTATTAATAATCTTTTGGTGGAGGATATTAAAAAAACATTTCTTAAAATGTAATTAAATATTTGATGGTAATACAATGTAAAAAATAGGGTTTAAATTGTTTTCACTTCATTTTAAAAGTAAATGTATTTAAGCAGGTCAATACAAAATATTTTAGGAGATTTACTTTTTTTTTTGATTTACTTACTGGTAGTCTTTTGACCAGGTTTTGCACTATTTTTTTAGCTTTTATTTTTGGCAACAGCTTATACCTTAGGAAATGTTGGTATATTCTTGCTATGCATACATGGCCGTCAAAGAAGACACGGCCTGCCCACTTTTTTTTTGCGAGGACCTTATGTTTTGGAAATATAGGCAATTATTTTAGAAATTTTGAATTTTATTTTAGAAATTGAGGGGTTGACCCCCTCCACTTTGAAGGCTGTGTCAACGCCTTTGGCATAAGCCAATTCAAATCACGCTTTAAGTAAAAAATCACTATTTTGGTCTATAAAATAAAAGCTGTACATGTACCGATAAAATAACTATAACAAAAATTGTCGGTATTGCATAGTAGAACACTCATGTAACTGTTATTTTAAAAATAGTGACCGAATTTCAAAGTAATGGGTAACGCTTTGAGGTATAAGTAGCAAAAAACTGACAAAACTTTAACTAAAACTGCAATAAATCCTACACTAGTCATCCAATCAGGCTGTAATTTTGTCCAGAGTTTGGTATGGCTATTGGCTACATTTGCACAAATTGTTATTAAATTATATTGAGTGGTTCAAATTCTACAAGTGTTATTGGCGCACTATGAAGTCAAAATTTGACTTAATTTGAACATTCAAATTAAATTATTTCAAAATTTGCACCACAGGGTACCTTGATGTGTACGCTAACTTTCCGTATAAGTGGCGTTCTTGGGACAGCTAGGTAGGCATTATAAGGATCCGTGCTAACCATGTCACCTGATATTTAGACAACTGTGAAGTAGTATAAATATATAAAGAGTAGCAATTATTTTTCAACTTATTTCAAAATTTAATTCAACTTATTTCAAAATATTACTGATTAAGCTCTTACTCGGTTGTTAGTCTGGCTTGCACTCTTAAGTGTAAGATGCTTTACGTGTCACGTTTTTTTTTTTTTTAATAGAAAGACACGCAAAACCATATTAGATAAATTGAAACTTGCTAAGTTACATAAATAAACTTTTTACCCATGTCTAGCACAGGTACCTGTCTATATAGAGGTCACAACGTTAGGAAAGGATCAAACAGTTAAGAGGTCACAACGTTTGGAAAGGACTTAACAGACATTATTGAGTTTTTTTTAATTCAGAAAAAACATTGAAATTGTATAAAACTAAATTTGATTAAATTAAAACGATTAATCGAAATTCGATTTCCATTAAACTAGAATGATGAATTAAATCATGCTTAAAATTTCATACAACGCAATCGAAGATAATATGCTTCCTTAAATCATAAAAACAAAAATAGTTTGTCTTACCGAGATTTGATGCTGTTTTTCTAAACAGTATTTTATTTAAAATAATAACTTAACTTTTTTTTTGTTGATAATAATGAAAGATTTGCTTGATATATATATGCGCATTCAAATAAATTACTTTAAATTTTAAATAACTAAGTTAACTTATCCCTTAAAATACTTATCGCTGAAAAGATTATGTCTGAGACGATGAAATAAAAAAAACTTGTTGCCAGGGTGCCAGGATAAAGTAGCCAAAGAGTTTCAGTTCAAATTATAAAATACTTAAAATATCTTTAATTAATTAAAAATATTTTCAACTTTTTAGATGAAATAAATCTGTTTGGGCTTTGTAATGCGCGTGTAATTTTTTTTTTAATTGCACATTTTTAACTTCAAAGATACAATTATAATAAAACAATTGTAATATCCAATTATAATAACAATAATGTTTATATATATATATATATATATATATATATATATATATATATATATATATATATATATATATATATATATATATATATATAAATATATATAAATAAAATAACAACAACGTTTAACGTTATAAATATTATGCACAAATATTAACTATGTAATAATTAATAACTACTCTATGTAAACTATGATTAAGCAAATTTAAAAAAACTTTTGTCTTTTAAAACCTTTATCTGATTAACTTTAACTACTTTCCATTTCTTACAAATAAGAAATTTACGATTTGTTTACAGAAACAATATAAAGCGAGGACATTTTACACTTCTTCTCAAAAATAAAGATGAGCAACGTCATCAAAAACACCTATGGCCGATTCCTAATAATAAAAAAAAAGTTATAATTTATGATGTAGTAAAGTAAAGTTATAACATAACAAAATATATTACATAATTTAAATATCTACTAATCTTTTCTTTTAAATTTACCGTTTCTTTTTTTAAAACAAGCAATTTTCACTTTACACGCTCATTAGATATTTTTTCTTGGATTAGCAATAAAAGATTTATGTCAAATGCTTGTTCGTATTTGACATGTAAAGGATCTAGTTTACTACGCCATTTATATTTTTTCTGACAGCAGGATTGTAAAGCCATTTGTTTAGGCTAATATTTCCTCCGAAGCATACTTTATTTTTGTTTGCCAAAATAAGAAATATTCATTTACAAATTTTTTCTAAACAACTTTTTTTTTAAATTTGTATGATGCTTTAAGCAAAAATATATAATAATATATGTCTAATATTATGACCGTCTTATTTGCGGAAGTACTTTTTATCATTTCAATAGCCGTGAATGGAATCAGTTTTTGAAGGGTTTTTTCTTATTTTTTTAATTTTCTTTGTATCACTACATTTTTTTATGTCATTTGTAGATTTTCTTGTATAACTACATATTTTTATGTCATTTGTAGACTTTAATAACTATTAAGTTCAATTTGTATCTGTGAGTATCTGAGATTCCTGATTTGTGTATACGAGTAATAAATATAAAAGTTTGTTATTCAATCTTAGTTAACATTTTTGGTTTTAACTTAAAACTAGAAATTCAATAAAAAAAAATCATGATATTAAATTAAAAATTAAACTTCTTTACTAAATTTTTAAACTTAATATTCAAACATAACATGAAAAAAAATGCAAATGTACAATATGTAATATAACGTATATGAATTATTAGGTCTCACTTAAAAAATTACAAAGGTGACTATCAAACTAAGAAATGACGGAGGCTTGCCTGCTACTTATGCGCTTTAGGTTTTTGATAGTTAAATAGGAACACAAAAGTAAATATAAAATTTGGAAAGGAACATTAACATAAATAGGATAATTTAAAAATTGGAAAGGAACATTAGCATAAATAGGAAAATCGAAAAGGAACACTAGCATTAATAGTGTACTATCACCATTTTTACTTAAATTTAAAATCTTAAACTTACAAAAAACATCACATAACAGACTCGTACCAGGAAATTTTGCAAAGAATAAAGGGGTGGGGCAATAGATGAAATACATACAGCAACAGATAAAATTTTTATAAAGGAAAAAACAGTTTTATACACAAACAAAAGTTAAGTTGAAAATAGGAAAATATTATAACATAACGCGCTATTTTGAATTTTAGTCCAGCAAATTACAAAATTTTAAATGAAATTAGATGAAAGCCTAAATATTTTATGAAAAGATTATCACAAATATCATACCCCTCCTTCCTTAAGTACCATTTTATATTTATCAAAACTTTTGTCGAACACTTTTTATTTATATTTATGGTTTTATAGAATTTATATTTATGTTTTCATAGGATAAATGTACTTCATATTTTTTTAAAAACAATATAAAATCTTTGACTAAATATTTTGATGACGATAATGAATCTTTTGATTTGGTATATATATTTACATTTGTTAATAGCTTTTTTTTTATAAATTTCTATTAAAATCTTATCTAAAGTTTGATAAAATACCCAAGCATTTTCACATTTGATTTTCGTTAAAGCTTTTAATTTGAATTTTCAGTAATTAAGAAAATCAATTGAAGCCTATCCAACTTATTGAAACTAGAGTTGAAGCTTCGTAACATCTTTTTTATTTATTAAATTTTAAACTTTCGTTACACCTACGTTACTATCTCTAATTAAAATATAATTAAACAAGACTGAAGTTAATACTTTATTTATAGAATCATAATTTAAGTTACTTAAGCGTAATATTGAGAAAAACCTTAAATTTTTTTTAGTGATCTTGCGTAAAAAAATTTGTTTTGAAAGAAGCTTTTCAAACTTAAGTTAAAAAAGTTTATCGAGGATTCCTGCATAACATGCAGGGCAAAAACCCCACTATTATATATGTAACCACTTTAGGGAACAGCAGAAAGAGTTATGTAGTAAATTATAAAAAGATAAAAGCTAAAACCCATGTAAAAAAGGTTCAGAGAATCATCAATTTAGGCAGAAAACAACAAGCTACATCAATACTTAACTAATAGATGACGTTTAATGAATGGATGATAAGATGACGTTTAAGACCGATCAACGAAAAACTTATGATAGTTAAAGCCTGTCAACGTTTTTTCATTTTATTGAATTTTGAAACAAATTTATAAAATTAAAGATTAAATGATCATGATTAAAATAATGAGCACAATAGAAACTATATGCACACAAAAAAATAATATTAGCAGAAGCTATTTTGACGCGTACTTAATATTAGATTTTGCTCTCCAAAAATATATCTAACGTAAATGAATAATTTTTTATACACTGTAAATGTTGTCATTTTAACAGCTTTACTTACTCTATAGAATTTATAACAACATTAAAAGTTGCATTAACATTGAATCTCCTGTATAGTGTAGCAATCTAAATAAAAAATTTAATAATGCTGTTATAGCAATTAATATAGTTATAACCTTTAAGCACTATTACTCATAAAATAATTAAAAAAAAAAAAATTAAACATTTCTTACCGCATCTTGGATATCATTTCTAAGACTTATAGAAGGTTTACTCGTTAGTATAGAATATGAATTAGTATAATCTTTATCAATGAAATTTACAGCCAAATTCAATTTTACAACTAAAATAAAAATCATATTATTTTAAAGTATAACATTTTAAAAATTTATAGTATTTTGATATAATACTAAACATAATAGGTTAAGTATTATAGTATGTAAAAATATTGCATACATGATAAAATTATTTTTTAAATTACAGAAAGTGTAAATTTAAAGTAAATATTTGCCTTACCCAACCGGCATTTGGTCATAAAGAGAGATCTTTTTAGGATTAAATGATGGCTGGATAGTGTGTGTGCGCGTGTTTATACACGCACAAACACACACACATACACAAGATTTTTTAAAATTATTTTAAGTTGGTTATGTAAGATTATGGGAGAAAATTATTTTTTGTAAAGAATAATGAGACAAGATAATTTAAGGCATACTCACACATTAATAAATGTATATAAACAATGTTTTTAAAATCATTTTTTTTTAAAAAGAAACAAATTCATAATTTGTTTCATTATTTTATAACATTTAATGATTTTAAGATACAACCAAAAATGATAAAAAAAAGATGAGACCACATGAAAATTACAGATATACAAAAAAGTAAATTAAAACCTTAAAATTTTTTTCGAAAAAAAAAAAAAAATCAAAATAAAAAACCTATAACGAATTATTCCAAATTTAAAATTTTTAGAAAAATATGATTTGACTACTTAAAAAGTTACAGTTAAATTATAAATTAAATTAGTTTAAAAATTCACTATAATGAAGAGTAATTGTTTAACATCAATTACTCTTCATATATTCAAATTAAACTAAAAGAAAATAATGGTTTCCTTTCTAATAACATTAAACCAGAAAGAAATGGTTTCAATTTTCAATATCAAAGTAATGAATAATAGTTTCTTAAACTGAAGAATCAAAAAAAAGAAGAATGATGATTTACTATCCTGAAAAATCAAAATAATGTGGAACTATAGTTTAGAGTAAGATGGGGTAATTTCGCCATGAATTCTTTTAATTTAAATAACTTAAAAACTAAAAATTAAAATGGAATTTTTTTTTATTGTTAAAATAATACTTTTATAAACTTTACATACTTTAATTCTTTTTTTTTAATAATTAGAACAGAAAAAATGAGGTGGCGAAATTAACCCAATAAAATATAATTTGAGGTAATTTTGCCACCTATGTTATTTACAACATAAATTTTTTATTTTAAATTATAAATCTTAAAAACACATTTACAATCAGTTAAATAAAACAAATCTAACAATATTCAATAAGTGGGGGCATGGCCATCAATACCGAGAGGTATCGGGGCATGTCCTCTCCACCTTTTTTATTTCTTTTTTTTTTTAAGAATTGTAGGATAATTTAGGAGATTTGTTAATGTACCGGCCCCAGCTATCCATTCTGGATATTGAATTCTTCCTTCTAGTGTACTTCGAGATATACAGTATAATTCTGCAGCTCCCTTGCAACTCAGTTTGCCAGCTTTAACTTTTGCAATGGCTTTTTCCATTAGCTCTTCGCTATAATTGGTGACGGATTTCTCTTGCAGTTTTACGGCACTGATGCTGATAATTGATCAATTTAATTAATTTGAATTGATTATAAGACCAACATGACCTGAGAAATTAATTACCAAAACAAGAGGAAGGGAAATAATATTAATTATCCAATCAAAGCCCATTTCTATATAATATAAATATGTAGGGAATTTTTCCCATTTAGTATTTCCGTAATAACATTGGATCAGATCAAAATTAGAAAGAAAAAAACCATACAAAAATTCTTTGAAAAATTTCCATTATGTTAGTCTTTTAAATTTTGAATAGAAATAAATATTTTGATTTTTATAAGAAATTTTTCTATAGATTATTTTTGTCAATCAATTTTCTTATCAAGTTTTAACAAATAGAAGATTTTTTTTTACATAATTTGATAAGAAATTTATTTTTCTTCTAATAGAAATTTGAATTATAAAAAAATTTTATTCATGTATAAAGTTATAGTTATAAAAGTAGATATACACCAATTGGTGGCAAAATTTGTAAAGTGGCAAAATTACCCCATTTTTCTCTATAACTATGATATATATCCTGAAATATTAAAATAATTGAAAATGATTTTTTTTAGTCTTAAAAACGAGTTGTTGCATTATTAAAAACAAATGTTGCAGTAATATTACTTATACAATTTCGCCGAGCACAACTTTCAAAACCTCTAACATTTCCGATGCAATCTAAACCGCCAAAACTTGGCGTAGGATTTGAACAGCTGCGCAACCTTGATTTTACACCACCACCACATGGTTGACTGCATAACGACCAAGAAGACCATATTGACCAATTACCATTTACTATAAAAAAAAACCAACTAATATTTTCTAAATAATTTACTCTAAAAAACTTTTCACAAAAATAACTAACTATATTTGCATAAAGTACAAAAAAGCATTTTTCAACCTGGACAAATCATATCTGTCTTGCAGTCTTCGGTATAATTACTGACACCAATGCAATGACGACCATTAAATGATGGATGCGGATTATTACAACTTCTACTATAAACTATAATTCCACTACCACACATTTTCGAACAATTTGTAATGCTCCAGCTACCCCACATTCCATCTTCTAAAAAGATTTCTTAAATAATCAAAAAAAAAAAAAACTTATATCAAAATATAATATCATTGAAATATATACCAAGTGTTTTCCAAATAATTTTTTTTTAACATCTTCACTTCCAAAAAGGTTGCAAGCAAACACTATTAGAGTTGGAAGTTACTGGAAGAGAAAACTTGAAATTTATAGAGCAAGATAACTAATAAAAGACAACTTAAAAGATTGCAAATTATATGAATTGGGAAAACAAGATAAAGGAAGAGAATTCCAAAGAACTGATGTTCGAGGAAAAAAATTATACAAATAAGAGCTTTTGGAGCACTTTTGAACAGTCACAGTAAAAGGATGAGGGATGATATTAATTGAATGATGAGTTAAAATAAGAATGAAATTTAGTAGATATCACATTATATTATGAGTTAAAATGAGAATGATATTTAGTAGATATCACAGCTCTATAGAGCAATGCTAATATAGCATTTATAGAAAAGAGAAGTAACATTACGACAATATGATCATGGTTAGAGATAGGAGGTGAGAGCAGATTGAAATATGCTTGCAATGCGTTTTTGCACCTTCTCTAAAAGAGAAAGGCATCATTGGAGAGCATTATTCAAAGTATAACATTTTATAAATTTATAGTATGTAAAAATATTGCATACATAATAAAATTATTTTTTAAATTACAGAAAGTGTAAATTTAAAATAATCTTTTCTGAATTACAGTAGATATCACAGCTCTATACAGCAATGCTAAAGGCATCATTGGAGTGCATTATTCAAAGATCCACCTCAGTTATGGCAACAGAATTCCATACACAGATGGATTTGAGATTTATTGAGATAAAGAATAAAATCCTGAGTAAGAAAGTTACAAGCACAATAAAGAGATACAACCTTAACAGAAACTAAATTTGCAATTGATTAGATATATTTTTCTAGAAAGTTCAGAAGTAAGAGTTAATCCTAGAAGTTAAGGAGTAGATGACTCATCGAGTACATTACCGTTCATAAATCACCAGTCACCAAAATCACCAGCCATTGAGAGCCCCATGCTGTAGCAGAAATGAAATCCTTTTCAAGCTCAAATGCTCCCTTCAAGCAATCAGAGAGTGTTGGCTTTTTATGAAGGTGAGAATAAATGGTAGTATCATCAGCGAACATTGCAACCTAAGAGGTGAGAATTTCTGGGAATTTGTTAATGTAATTTGAAAAGAGTATAGGGAAAAGGATGGAACCTTGAGGAACCCCTGATGTTACAGAATATGAAGAAAATGCTGTCCATCGAGGACAATTTTTATAGTACAGTTGGTAAGAAAGGATTCAATAATCTTAAAGATCTTATTTGATACACCATAAGAAGAGAGCTTATGGAGAAGACTAGCATGCTAAACCTAAACTTTTAAAAAGTTTTTATTAAGTTATATAGTTTTATACACAGCTAGATATTACAGGTGGATATAAAGAAATATAGTAGAGTAAACAGGAATAATTGCTGGGATCAAAGAATGAAAAAAAAGTAAGATATATAAATTGTGGGTGAAGTAATCTCAGAGAATATCTATCTATATATCTACATCTATCTATAGTATATATCTATATATCTATATCTATATATATCTATAACATATATCTATATCTATATATATCTATAAATATATATAAATATATATATATATATATATATATATATATATATATATATATATATATATATATATATATATATATATACACACAAACAGTCAGTTGTTTCACTATAAATTTTGTTTCTTTTTTCATAAAAAGTAGACTAATAGATACATACTCTGTAAGTAATATATATATATATATATATATATATATATATATATATATATAATGTTATTATTATGATTAATATTTAATAAGTATTATTTACTTTTATTAAATATCATTTACATATACTTACATAAATATTAAATAATTAATAATTTCAATCATTATTATTATTATTACAAATACAAGCAGTAGTAGTGTAGTGGTAGAGCGCTCGCTTCATAAGTGACAGGTTCTGAGTTTGATCCCTACCAGATCCCTGGTAGTACCGTGCTAGTCAACTAGTTTCTCTATACAGTGGCCTTGTTTGTCAAGGTTCGTGTTTCGGAGTTATAGAGTTGAGAGAGAGGTTGTAATCACAATAAAGTAGCCTCCTCGGCCTTGAGAAGGTGAATTGCCAAAAAAAAAAAAAAAAAAAAAAAAAAAAACTTAAGTCATTTATATAATTATCAATAGTATTATTATAATTATAAATGTTATAACTCTTGCTATTATTAATCTAGTTATCTATAATTAGCATTGTTATTTGATTTTTTAAATAACCCCCCAACAATTGTCCAATCAGTCTTCTTTCTGTAATTAGCAAATTGTTGAGTCTTTGACCAACAAATTTTTAACATATTATCTTGAGTAAAATAAAGTGTTATAAGACAATCAATACAGTTTTAGTTCTATTGCTTGCTTTTTATGGTGTATCTGGGAAAGTTTTCGAGATTATAAAATTGTTTCTTTTTAACTGGTTTATTAAAGTCTTTTTTATTCTTGGAATTTTTTCTTATCTAAATTAATAATCTTCCTGACAACCTTAGAAAAGGCAGCTGATCTTGAATCTGATTTCACTTCTATAAAAGATTAGGCCTTGCAGTGACTTGTGAATTATAACTTCAAAAAAACTTACGACTGTCAACATCCTATGTTGACAAATGGTAACCCTCTAACTAAGTTCTTTTCTTCACATCTTCTTAGATCATCTTTTGTGGAAACCATACATACAATTGATTGCAAGTTAGCATCTGCTAAAGTTACTTCTCTTTATTGTGCTTGCCATTATCTTACTCTTGATTCCATTCTCTACCTTTACAACCGCTTATTCATCCCTGTATAGAATACTGTGGTCAAATTTGGGCTTGTTCTTTTAATGATGTTCTTCCACTTCTAGACAAGGTCTAAAAACACATTGTAAAAGTAGTTGGATCCACAATTAAATTTGAGCCTCTTTCATATTTTGAAAATATTTGGTTTTGAACCTGTTTCACCTCGAAATGATGCTTTACTGCTTGCAGACTTTAAAACATTAAACACAAGCATTACTTAAAGCTTAGTTGCAACACAAACATTCTTGACACATTTACATTTTTCCTAACATATTTCTTGACACATGTATATATATATATATATATATATATATATATATATATATATATATATATATATATATATATATATATATATATATATATATATATATATATATATTAGGGTGGTCCATAAAACAACTTTTTTGAGAAAAACCTGCTGACACCCCCTAAATGTGTTTCATCTAATGCAAAAACACTAGGTTTAAAATTTTTTTGAACAAAAATTATTTTTAGGGGTAGCTCAAGGCCCTCAAAAATTTGACGGGTCCCTAATATTTTGAAAAAAAAACTTTTTCTAAAGTATGTCAACCTGGTACTCAAAAGAAGCGATATTGTATAAAAACTTCAAAAATAATAATCATTTTACATAAAAAACATGCCTAAAAAAAATTATTCTCAAAAAACCTGAAAATATTGACTTTTTTTATTTTCAGCTTAAAAACAATAGTTTTTATGCATTTATACCTAAAAAAATTATTTTTATAAAAAATTATTATCATTTTTAAATTTTTTATATAATTTTGCTTATTTTGAGTACCAGGTTGACATACTTTAGAAAAAGTTTTTTTTTCAAAATATTAGGGACCCGTCAAATTTTTGAGGGCCTTGAGCTACCCCTAAAAATAATTTTTGTTCAAAAAAATTTTAAACCTAGTGTTTTTGCATTAGATAAAACACATTTAGGGGGTGTCAGCAGGTTTTTCTCAAAAAAGTTGTTTTATGGACACCCTAATATATATATATATATATATATGTATATATATATTTATATATATATATATATATATATATATATATATATATATATATATATATATATATATATATATATATATATATATATATATATATATATATATATATATATATATATATATATATATATATACATTTATAGAATGCTTCAATTTGCTTTTGTTGCTTAGATATACTTTTTTTACTACTTGCTCATTTTTAGCTTTGTTTTCCTTAATTGATGAAATTATTTCTAATATTATTTCCACTTCCATTGAACTGCAAACCTGGTAACTCTAACAGTTTTTCTTGTTCACTTTAGGTGTTACTTTGGTAACAGACAACAAATTAAGTACTACAATCTTTCAAAACAAACTTTAAGACAAAAAGGGAAGAAAAAATTACAATATTATTATAATAATTTCAGTAAAAGAGGTTTGTAATGCTCACTACGAAATGCATTTTTTGAGTGAAATTTCAAAACTTTTCTAATTATTTTAAAAAATCATTAAATTATTCCAGATTTCTTTCTATTATAAGATACCTATACTAAGCAGATAATAACGCGAAAAAAATCTATCCAATTAAATTAATTGGTATGCAGATATCAACAATAATAAGATTGTCTTTTTAAGGGCAAAACAAAACATTAACAAATACAACATTAAAAAAAATTTAATTACTGTTTTCAACTGCCAGAAAGAAATTATATGGCTTTAATGGAGAAAAAAAAAAAAAAAAAACTAAAAAAAAAGGCTTCCTAAAGTAATTCAAGCCAATTTAAATTTGATGAATTATTAAGGGCACTATATCTATAATGATTTTTTATAAAACTATTAATAAATAATATATATTTTATTATATATACTTATATAAGTATGCATTGTTTATTATAAATGTCTTTAAATAAAAAAAAAATTATATCAATATTTTTAATAAACGATTTAAATATTTATTCTTTTGTTTACATTACTGCAAAGAACTGTTGAGAATCTTTTTTTTTAACTTTTAAATGTGCGCATTTTAAAATGGAACACTTTCCTGGTCAAGCCTCTATATATATATATATATATATATATATATATATATATATATATATATATATAATATATATATATATATATATATATATATATATATATATATATATATATATATATATTTATATATATATATATATATATATATATATATATATATATATATATATATATATATATATATATATATATATATATATATACATATATATATATTATATATATATATATATATATATATATATAAATATATATATATATATACATATATATATATATATATATATATATATATATATATATATATATATATATATATATATATATATGTATATAAATGAAACAAAAACGTAGATTAAAAATATAACATTTATGTAATGATACCTGGACAGTTAACTAAAATACAACTTTCCAACATTACTTCTGAATAAATTGAATGTAATAAAATTCTACTTCTATTTCCCAATCCACATGTAACAGAACATTCACTCCATGTTGCCCAATTTCCTATATATAAATGTATATATACCTATTTTTAAATAAATTAAACCTACATACTTACATATATATATATATATATATATTTATCAACGCTATTGAGTGCCGTAGTAGTGCAAACATATTGGGTTCTTATAAATCCTCTCATCAATTACCTTCAGATCAAATCTAGTTTTCCATTGGCTCATTGAAAAAAAACCTGTTTTTTGCAGATGCACGATTTTTTTGCATATTGGCAGTTGCTTAAAGTTAGCAAACTTTACAACATGTAACAAATTAAATTCCCATTTGAACGATAAGTTACTGTCAAACACTCACTGTTTAATTTACAAGCAAAGTATTGATTTATGCACATAAAGTTGGTCCTGTGTTTGAGTTGTTTAAAACATGCTTTTATCGCATGCTCAAAGTTTTTTCAACATGTGATAAAAACATGTGTTTTTTAACACATGGTTATCATTGGAACTACAGTGAACTTCTGATATCTCAAACCTTCAAGGGACCTAGAAAATAGTTCGATTTAGCAAATGTTTCAGTTATTGGGACATTCTATAACATGAACTTTGGCCGATAAGTAAAAACAATTCCAGTTATTAAAAGTTTTGATCTTAAAAGTAAAACAATACATTATAATTTGAAAAATGTTCTGTCACTCTGTTTTAGTTTTGAAGATACGTCTCTATCGAATATAATCGAGACAGGATTGAGCTTTTGTTGCGAATCTTCACCCATAAGACTGAAGGGCATATAGTCATTCAACATTTGCAGTGCCTCCCGAATATCACTAACTTTTGGGCAAACTGGATTGATTGCATTACATTATCTTCTTCATCATTATCATCATGTTCGTTGGCTGCATTTTTAACTTCTTCTACTAACTGTTTATCTGTAAGTAAAGGTTCTGCGCTTAATTAATTAAGCTTTCATCTGCAAAAACAACATCTTCAGCTGTTGTACCTGAAGGGTAAAAATTATCAAGTTAAGTTGTCTTCTCCGAATAGGCAGATTTCTGCTAATCTTCAGAAATTCCTGCTTTTGCAAAACAATTAATGATGGTGGAGGTTTTCAATTTTTGCCATGCAAGATCAAGCATTTTCATTGCATATAAAATTGAGAAAACAGGAAGATCTTTTTTTTTTATCAATAGCTACTACCAATATTTGCAATGCCAAAGATCTGTAATAAACTTTCAAAGAGCGTATAACTCCCTGATTCATTGGTTAAAGTTTAGATGTGGTATTCAGTGGTAAAAAAAAGAGCTCAATAGATTTTAGATTAACAACCGTCGGATGTGCTGGGCAGTTATCTATTATGAACGCTACTTTCTTCTTTTCTTTTGTAAACTTTGTATCCATTTCTTGTATCTACTCTTCAAACAGTACGCTATCCATCCAGCTTTTATTTTGATTTTTGTATCTGCAAGGTAAGTGCTTAATTCCTTTGAAGCAGCAATGTGATTTTGATTTTTCTATTCCAAACATAGGAATTTTATCACCCGCTGCACTTGCTGTCACCACTCCTGTAAGACAAATTTTACTATGATTTCCCCCTATACATGTCTCAGATTAAAGATTAAGTGATTTATTAGGTTGCATACAAAAAAATAATCCAAATTCATCTGCATTATAAATTTCATCAAGTTTATACCTGGATAAAATTGTGGGGAGAGTTGTTTCCTTCCATGGCATGGTCATTTCAGTTGAAACATTATACCTGTTTTTCCAAGGATCTAGCCAACCATCAGACACTTGAAATCCATTTATATTAATTTTTTCAGCAAGTTCTCTGGCTTTTGTTTTAGGAATTGTTGCTGATACTGCCACGTTTCTGCTCCTTACATTTAAAAGCCATTTAAAAACAAGATTATCTAAATTTGAAAATATTCCTTCGTTAATTCTTATACTTTTAGACTTGTTCCCTTGTGTCTTCACATATTCAAAAATTTTTTCTTTATTTTTGATCCATGTTGACAGCGTATTTTTTGGAATGCCATATTTTATAGCAACCTGAGACTTTGACAATCCTTCCTCAATTTCCCTTAAAGCAGCGTACTTTTCTTTAATTGATTTTGTATTCATTTTTCTCTTTACAGCAACAGTAGCCATAATAAAATGTAAGCACAACAAATTTTATTATGATATTGATATTGATTATTGCAACACATGTAAGTATACCTAAAACAAACTTAATCAAAATATTATTATAGTTAACATTGCAACATTCAAGGACTTCATTGCAGTTTTTTTTTCATATTTTTGCTCTAAAGTTCGAGTTATCAGAAAAATATTAGCTATGGGAACAGATAAAGTAGTTCAACTTAGCGAATGTTTGAGTTAATGGGTGTTCCAGTTATCAAGCTGTTTTTATGTGAAAGTATTAGTGAGGGTTCAAGGGGAACACAAAAGTAATTCGAATTACTAGAAGTTCAAGTTGTCCGGGGTTAGAGATATCAGGATTTTACTCTATTGATTAAAAAGTCATTTTTTAGCTATTTAGAACTAAACTTAGAAATGTTTAAGTGTTTAACAATTTGAATTTTTTTAATGCAACAACTTGCTGTTTGATTGTTGATGAGATAGCTTTTTACCCATAAAAATGTAATCTTTTTACAAGCATGTATCAACTAAACACTACCCATTGTTGAATCAGATTACTAATGTAGTCTAATTTAAAAAATGAACTTCAAACAAACTAACGCTAACAAACTGAACTGTGTTTAAAAAGCAAAAACCTGCATATATACAATATATATATATATATATATATATATATATATATATATATATATATATTTATATATATATATATATATATATATATATATATATATATATATATATATATATATATATATATATATATATATATATATATATATATATATATATATATATATATATATATATATATATATATATATATATATATATATATATATATATATATATATATATATATATATAGCTCTTTGTCGGTTTAAGAGTGATCAATATTTATAAAATAGTTCAAAATATATTAAATATTTGAATTAAAAAAATACGACTTTTTTATGGGACTTTAAGTTTCATGCCATACATTTAAAATCATAAAATCAAAAAACGTTATAAAAAATACAAAATTGCATTGCAACAAAATCAAATGTCAGTTTTCGCGCCAAACGGAAATTTATTTAACCAGTATTGAAATTCGATGGCTTATTTAACGATAACTAATTGTCATACTAATAAACGCAAGGAAAACATCAAATGGTTTAATTCCCCTCTTAGTAAGAATAATGTCACCAAACTAGGAAAACTTTTCTTAAACTTAATCGACTTACACTTCCCAGCACACCACAAGCTGCACAAGATTTTTAACAGAAACACAGTCAAAATAAGTTACAGCTGCATGCCAAATATTAGTACTATTATTAAGTCCCACAACCAACATATTTTGCGCAACCAAAACACCAAAAATGTCAGAAAATTTAATTGTATAGACAGAGCTATGTATCCTTTACAAAATCAATGTCTAACTAAAAATATTGTTCACAACGCTACCATAACACCAGCGAACATCAACCACGCTAAGAAATCTTATATTGGTATTAGCGAAAACTCCTTCAAGATCAAGCTTGCAAACCACATAAAATCATTTAACTTTCTAAAGAAATGTGAAAACTTAAAGAAGCAGGCATTAAACCAATAATCAAGAGGAGTATTGTTAAAAAATGTCAACCCTATAACCCATCCTCAAAAAGGTGTAATCTTTGCATAAATGAGAAATATTTTACTTCAATATACAATAAAGAACCTTAGTTAAATAAAAAAAGTGAATTGGTCTCAGCATGCAGGCACAGAAAAAAGTTTTTGCTATTGAATTTTGACACTGGTCAAAAAAATTCTCGTTTGACGCAAAAATTGAAGTTTGATCTCGTAATGCAATTTAATATTTTTTATAACGGTTTTTATTTTATGATTTTAAATATATGGCTGAATGATTGCCGAATGGCATGAAACTTGAAGTCCCATTAAGAAGTCGTATTCTTTTCATTTAAATATTTAATATATATATATATATATATATATAATATATATATATATATATATATATATATATATATATATATATATAATTATTTTAATACAACACTACATAAAACGATATATATATATATATATATATATATGAATATATATATATATATATATATGAATATATATATATATGAATATATATATATATGAATATATATATATATATATATATATATATATATATATATATATATATATATATATATATATATATATATATATATATATATATATATATATGTATATATATATATATATATATATGTATATATATATATATATGTATATGTATATATATATATATATATATATATATATATATATATATATATATATATATATATATATATATATATATGTATATATATATATATATATATATATATATATATATATATATATATATATATATATATATATATATATATATATATATATATATATATATATATATATATATATATATATATATATATATATATATATATACTCTTGCTTAGTCATTTTTAATTTTTTCAGGTCAGTTTTAATTTTTTTTTTTTAAAGTGTTTTAATTTAAACTACTGCTTTCTGTCCCCATGTCACTCTCTACTGTACACTCAAAAGATAATATACAAAAAAAATTAGAAACACAAAAACTTCCTTATTATTTGGTAATAATTTGATTAGTAACAGTTTTGTTATTGCATTATTTTGTCTGTTCGATTTATTCTATTTAGATCTAAGTACAATGAAAAAAAAAAGAAAAATATTTATGAAATGAGTTTTTTTAAATATAGAAAGTTGAATGTATAGAAAACTTTCTATACATTCAACTTAACTGAAGTAACTTTTAGTGACCTAACCAGAGAATTTTAATAGTAATCGATTGGATGACTTTAAGGGACCAAATGAAAAACTAGAGTTAACTGGCGTTTGACTAACCAGGATTTTACTGTAATAAAAAAATATATAATAAATAAATTTAGCTTCATACCAAAACAATTCACTTTTTCAATGCCGCGACCATAACACTGATCTATAGAATGGGAACTGTTGCACTCTCTTGTTCTATTCATAAATCCATAAGTAGCATTAGTACAATTTGTCCAAATACTCCATTGCGACCAAAAGACTTGAATAAAAAAACAGCCATAGTTCACTTAACAAGTTATATATTTAAACATTAAACAAGTATTTACTAACTAATACTTCAGTAGAAATTATAGGTGGCATGTTAAATTATATTTATTTTTTATAGAAAAATAAGTTATTTAAGGGTAATTCCGCATCAAATCACCCAAAATATAGGGAAACTTCAACCATGGGTCCTTAAATTTTTTAAAAACTTATTTAACTGTTGTATGTTAAAAAAAAAATAGAACACATAAAATTTCAGCTAAAAATGTTGAGCAGTTTGCAAGATACTGCAATTTTTTTTATTGACTTGGTTTTCCAAAATGACCTGGTTTTCATAACATTCTGTAAAAACATTTTTTTTTTTTTAAATAAGAAATAAAAATGAAGAAAATATGAAAACAAACATATATAATGATTTTTTGATGGCGAATTCAACAAATGTACTTAAAATGTTGAAATATTAAAAGAACATGCTTAAAAGTTAATAAAACAACTAGTTTCTATATACCAACTTTATATCCAATATCTCAAAACATCCCCACCAAATTTTTTTTTTGCTATTAAAATTTTCAGATGCTTATAATCTTACTTGGCACAAAACTAACTGGAAAAACAACTGAAACATAAAGAACTTTAACTTTAGATATATCAAATTTTCAATAAATTATTTCAAAAAACTTGCAAATAGAATTCTGTAAAATATTAAATTTAGTTTATAGACTATTTAGAAGAAAAAAACAAAACAACTTTTTTATATTTAAGCCTTAATCATATGTAATATAACTGAAAAAATCTTCCTGTTTTGTTTTTATATAAAAACTGACTAAGTGTGATATTGAAGTGCATTTGTTTCTAAAATTTCGACAACTATAGTTAGTAAAAGTTTATAAAAACTAGTTTATAAAAATTTCAGTTATTAAAAAACATTTATTGGTACATAGTTTATATATTATAGTTATAGAGCAACATTTATTTGTAAAATTTTATTTAAATTTAAACAAATTAACAATTTAATATATAAAGATAGTATATATACATATATCTATAAGAAAAATAACAATATCAGTGTAAGAAATTATCCAACAGAAGGATTCTGAAAAGGTTTGAATTATTTCTAAATTGAAAACTTTTTTTTTTTTAACTGAAAAAATTAGTAAAAATGTAGAATTCTCTTTTTTTTAGGAAATACATTAATACTTAGTAATTTATTTTAAGATGTGTTTTTTTTTAAACATCTTCGCTTCCAAAAAGGCTGCAGGCAACCACTATTTGTGTTGGAAGTTACTGGAAGAGAAAAGATGAAGATTGTAGAGCAAGATAATGATTGACAGACATTTTAAAAGATTGCAAGTTATATGAATCAGGAAAGCAAGATGAAGGAAGCAAATTCCAAAGAACTGATGTTCGAAGGAAAAAACTAGACGAATAAGAGTTTTTGGAGCACTTAGGAACAGTAACAGAAAAAGGATGAGACTTAATTGAATGACGAGTAACACAAGAATGAATTTTAGTAGATGGCACAAGAGACGCTAGCTCTTTAGAGCAGTGCTGATTATATTATTTGTAGAAAAGAGAAAGAGATGCAACATTACGATGATGTGACAAAAGTTGAAGGTTGGCTGAAAGAGCAGATCGAACTATGTTTACAATGCCTTTTTGCACCTTGTCTAAAAGAGAAAGGGCATTATTAGAAGATCTGCCCCAGATATGGCAACAGTATTATTGGCTAACAGTTCTATAGGCTTAATGACATCACATGCATGCAAAGGCCAATAAAATGTTATTGAAACTTTAAGCAATGAAGAAAAAATAACTATACCAACAGGCTGTAACATTGAACTATCAAACTTAACAATATTTTGTGAAAGACATACAACAAAATATTTGAAAATCACAAGTAAGTAGAATTTATATATTTTAATATATATATATATATATATATATATATATATATATATATATATATATATATACATGTATATATATACTTTTTTGATTTGTACTTTCCAAAACATAAACAATGTTATAAACATTTGTGCAGATAAGCTTTATACAATTTAATTACTTTTAAAAAATCTTAGAGTAGTTACGATAAATAAGTGACAAACCATGGTGAGAAGTAGTTTGAATATTGCTCCTGGGAAAAAACTTTGCAAACCTTTTAAGCAAAAGATTGCCAGAAAAGAAGATCTTAAAGACAAGAAGCAAAGTCAGGGTGAACTTGATGAGGATTTTCTAATATCATAATTCAAATCAAAAAGACAGGAGATCAATGAAGAACTTAAAAATTTTAATATATCTCCTCTCAAATCTTATTCTAAGTCATCAAAACATATACTCTCAGAAGGAAAGCGAAAAGCTGCACACATCAACAAAATGGTAAGCAACTGTACTAGAAAAACTGAAAGTCAAGTCAATGTTCCCTCAAAACTGTGTTATGAAACAAATAAGATTATAAAAAAAGCTGAAAACTTTGATGAAATCATGAGCTTGATAAAAGAAAAGTTTATATATTCTGATGACTATTGCTCAAATTCTAACACCCCAAAGTTGGTAGATATTACAAGTAAGAATTTACAAAATAACTTTGCAGTTACAGAATACCAAGCAAAGATAGCTAGACAATTTTTTAATAAAAAGGATTGTTAGCTATCTCTCCCTTGTATAAAGATAAAGTCTTACACAAAGAAATAGTTGATTCTATTAAATTGTTTTATGACTCAAGTGATTTATGTAGAAATGCCTGGAAAAAATTATGTAGAAATGCCTGGAAAAAAAAGAATGTGTTTGCATTCAAAAGAACGTCTTTAAAAAAAACTGCTTCAAAGGAATTATATGTATTATATAAAATAAACAGATATACAAATAAGTTACTCAAAATTTGCTTCATTTAGATCAAAGTGGTGCATTTTGCCCGGTGCAAGTGGTAAACTTTCTGTTTGTGTTTGTTCTTATCACCAAAATGCCATATTGCTAGTAGATGCTTTAAATATTGGACTAAAGTATAAAGATTTACTTTTCAAAACTGTTTGTAGAAAGCAAAAAATAGATGCTTGCACATTAAAGAACTCTTCACTAAATACTTGTATAAGATTATTGGAGAATACAAAGATCATTTTGAGACACTACAAGCAATGGCAAACTAATGATCATGCACTATTGAGTTTAACAGCAGATGTTCCAATGTTTGTTGAACTATTAGTATCTTGCTTTAAAAAGTTACAAGCTCATTCATTTATTGCTTGCTCTCAATTACAGTACCTTAACTAACTAAAACAAAATATTGATCAATCAAACATTATCATTATTGAGAACTTTGCTGAAAATTATGCTTTTATAGTCCAAGATAAAATACAAAGCTATAATTAGAATACCCAACTATGTTATTTACCTACATTAGTGATATACTATAAAGTTGATAAAGGTGTACTGAAACATATTTCTTACTGTTTTATATCATAAAAAACATGTGACTTATATGTATAAAATATTCCAACTAATAGGACAACACAAATATTGTAAAAGCTTTTACAAACTATGCCAACTAGAGAGCGGATATGGCCTTAAAGTTGAACAGAATTTTTTTGTCACTCCAACGGAAAGTCATCATGCGATGGGATTGGCAGTACTGTAAAAAGGTTAATAGCGCAAGAACAACGACCATACAGAAATCAAATTCACACATCAGAAACTATGTATGAATTTTGTATTGAGAAAATAAAGGTTGCTAACTTTATTTACATAAAAGAACTGGACATACAATTGCAACGTGAATTGAGCAGAAAGAGAGGTGTAACAACTCTACCTGATACTAGTAGCTTTTATCAATTTATACATCTTGAAGATAACAGGATTGGGGCAAAGTGGTAGTACAGACACTAATTATACAATAATTCACTATCTTAAAGAAAAAAAGATATATTTCTACATCTTTATACATCTTGAAGATAACAGGGTTGGGGCAAAGTGATGTAGTACAGACACTAATTATACAATAACTCACTATCTTAAAGAAAACAAAATATATTTCTACCTAATACTGTCACTTTAGGAGATGCATTTTGCATGCAATATTTTTTATAAGACACATGGTTCAATGGACTGGGTGATTTGATGCAGAATCACCTTTAATCAATAAATAATTATTTATTGCTTAATGGTAATAATAAGGCAAAGATATACTTTCTTGAAAATTTATTTTTCATTAGGAAATAAAGAAAAATATTTTAACAACCATAAAGGCAAAAATATATAATTTATAAAGCAAAAATTTAACTATACATACACTTTTTTTTATAATCTTTTTACTTATAATTTTTTTTTATAAGAGTATAAAGAACAAGAATATATTGAAAAATGATATGATAATAAAGTAAATAATACTCTTTATTTTTGTGTATTTATATTCAAAAAAAAATTGTATTACCATAGCATTCCATAATATCTAAGTCATTGCCATCACACCAACTTATTAGATTTGAAGTATTACAACTTCTTGATCTGTTTTTAAATCCATATGTGTCATTACAAATTGACCAATTGCTCCATGGTGTCCAAAAGACTTAAGTTATAAAACATTATATAAATATACAGATATTCATTGATAAATACAAAGATATATAAACATATATACAATGTATGTACCATGGCATTTCATAACATCAAAGTTGCTGCCATCACACTGATTTGTTGGATTTGAAACATTGCAACTTCTTGATCTGTTCATAAATCCATATGTGTCATTACACACCGACCAAGTGCTCCATGGTGTCCAAAAGACTTAATTTAAAAATAATATATGACAAAATGTACAGACACACACACACAAATACACACACATATATGTACAGGTCTCGGCAGGAAGCGAGAGCCTTAGCTCTTGTCCTTGTCCACACTCCCCTAAAATGGTTTACGGGAGCAATTTACAGCTCAAAAGTATAACTTTGCTCGCGAAAGTGTAATTATTGTTGTAACTAAAATAAAAGACGTCATTTAAAAAAAACAAATTGCATAATATACTGCAATGTTTTTTAAAAAGCACTGTTGTTGGAAAAAAAAAATTAAAAAAGAGAGCCGATTTAAATGAGTAGCAGCTCACACAGCTCCCCAAGGAAAACTTTTTCTGCTCTCGTGCTCATTTACTCTTGCCGGGGCCTGTATGTATATATGTATATGTATATATATGTATATATATATATATATTTTTTTTGCATAAGGTTTTTAAGGAATACGAAAATGATTTTGAGATACACTACAAGCAAATATATATATATAAATATATATATTTGCCACATATATATGTATATATATTTATATATATATTTATATATATATATATATATATATATATATATATATATATATATATATATATATATATATATATATAAAACAGGCTTCAGTGGCAGTCAGTTTATACATTGACTTAAGACTTAAGAACAATGGTAACCCACAAAAAAATTGTATTAAAATAAAAAAAAAAGGTACTAATCACCTTTTAATTATAACAAACTATCAATTTTAATACATTAATATAAAAAAAAAAAAACATTTCGTAGAAATTAATTTATTCGTATGGGCAATCTATAAAAACTTCAAACCTTTGTTCTGGTGGTATCTTTAAGCTTGGGCACAAAATAACAATCAAAACAAATTGTTACTTTTAAAATGACAATTTCAAATCTTTTACGTTTCTGCATAGTTGTTTTAGTTTTTTTTACATTTATCCTTAATTAATTAGCCAATATTTTGCAATAATTTTTGATTCTGGGAGGATTTGCAATTTTAAGCATAACTTTCACATCAATTTTTTTATACCATCCCATAGCTATTTATAAAATATCTATTATATATCCCATAGCATATCTACAACAACTTGATGATAAATAAGGCCAGAACACAAGTCTACTATTATGTGATTTAGTAAGAGGTAAATGAGGTTTTTGTAAACACTCAAAACAAGAAAGTGTCGACTCTATAGGGATCTATATGGTGCAAAAAGACTTTTCTAGCAAACTTACCATGTTTTAAAAACTTAATACCTGCTTTTCCTCTATATTCAGCATTACAACTGGCATTACAAGCCTCTTATTTACAGCACCAGGAATTTGCTGATGATAGAGCTTCATATAAGTTTAATCATTTTAAATAGTTTAAAATTTTTTAGAAATAAAATTGTTATAAAACTTTCTTAATTGGAAATTTGCGCTTTTTTTACTTAATTTCAGAACAGTTAGGCACAATTTGTGAAATAAAAAACAAATTTCACAAAAAAACTATTAAAAAATCCTTATCTTTTTGCGGGTTTCTTTAGTGTGAGGCTAAGATTATCCATAAACCATTAACCAGTTTTCTAACCAGTTTTTTATCAAAACAGATTTCCACTAATACCAGGATTTGCATTTGATCAACCTTGTTTGGGAAAAACGTTAAATAATATGAATAATAGCCAATCGAGGAGTTTTCAAAGATCAACAAAAAATCAAAAACCAAGGTCTTAGAAGACAGTGAATTAGTGGATTGTGCTGATGAAGTAAATCAAAAAGATACTGAGTTTATTCCTTTACTTCCAAAGAAAAGGAAGATGTCTTTAACAAATTTACTTCAAATAATTTCAAAAGTTACAACATCTGTTGCATACGATGCTGTTTTCAGTTTGCCAACAGCATCAATTTCAATCCACTATCACCTAAAAAGTGGAGGCAAACTTAATGATATGTCAATGTCAGTATCAAGTGTGCACTGTCAAAACATGGATGGGAGAAAAAATTCTGTCAATTAAAGCTGAGATTTTTCATTTAGATAGCTCATAATAAAGAATGTGTTCTTATGAGTTATTATAAGCTTATTTAGTTATATAATTTGTGTATTTTTTATTATTCAAAACTTTGGAAAGTTCTTGGAAGTGTATCTCATAATGTGTACTTATTAATTTAAATACAATGTATATTTCTTATTGCTGTTTTCAAAAAAAGACCTCTTATTTGGTTAGCATACCGCTATCATCAAAACAAGCTACACATCAAAAACTTACTGTATTACAAGGAGATTCCTAGCAAGAGTTGATATTTTTTAATATTTCCAAGCCGAACTTTCAAGAATTGATATTAATTGCTAAAACTTTACTTTTTTTTTTACTTTTTTGAGTTGCCTACTTGACATTAAATCATAATTATTTAATTAAACAAAATTAGTTCTAAAATTGGCTTAACAATGCTTTGAAGAGAAAACATAAAGGCAAAAAGAATCGATTTAAATCTAATCTAACTATTAGTTAGATAAGATTTAAATTTATTTATTAGGTGAAAACTATTAGTTGACAGAATATACAAAATTCACAAGTCAGGCGCAATTCTTATCACAAGATTTATGACAACTTCTATATATACATTTTTTCAAAATTAAATTCTTATCTGATAAATTTATTATATTCGATGATGAGCTAATTGTGAGCTAATTAGATAAATCATTTTTTTAATTTTTGGTATTGGTTCTGGTTTGGATAAACAATAAACTACCATAAATAACTACAAGTAAAAGTAAACAACAAACTATTTTTTGGTCAAGTCATGGGTCCAAGAAAATATCAGCGCTGACCAATCAGCATATTTTAGGGCATATTCTAATAATATCAAAGATATAAAGCCAATTTTATTACTGACATACAGGTTTGAAACCTTACAAAATTTCAGTTTGTGTTGTTTAAAACTAAGTATGTGATTAAAGCACCTCAGTTAGCAAAGAACTTTATGTTTTTTATGTATGTTTGTGTTCTGTCTGAATCTCTGGCGCGGTGTTGACTCACCCGTAAGTTGATTTATGTTTGTTTGTGTTCTGTTTATACTCTAATGCAGCGTGAGCTCAGTAACTAACTACTTACTCCAACTACAAAACCTACACTCACCTTAGACTCCTGTATTTTGTTAGATGCAGTGTTTTTCCTAATGCACTTACAAAATGTCATGCCTGGTTTTCTCAAAGTACTGTTGTGGAAAGTAACTCCTTTTAACAACTCCAGGTCAGGTCAGGATAATCGAGATCAATCTTGCTACTGGTATCACGTAACCCAGTACCACCTGCCACAAGGCCTGCCGCCTAGCAGAGTGTGCTCTTCTTATGCAAAGGCTAGGAGAAATAAACTCAGACTAAAAATTCCCCTGCCTTGGGGCTCTTGGTTGAGTAAAGGCTAGAGATGGTGTCTTGATAAAAACACTCATCTTGGGCAGATGTTAACTGCATCCAGCTAAACATCCCCTGCCTTGGGGCTCTTGGTTGAGTAAAGGCTAGAGATGGTGTCTCGATAAAAACACTAATCTTGGGCAGATGTTAACTGCATCCAGCTACTGTCTTGTAGAAGGCCTCCTAGGCAAACACTTTAGGGGTAAGCAGAAAAATTCTGCTAACCAGCCTCAAACCCCTTCTTCATCTATTAGGCTGGCGTAGATGTAACCTGTGTTACATTGTTTCCTGCCTAGGATGATGAATGCTGGATCTCCTTGACTCTACTCATAGAATTTTGCTTATGCCTCCTTGATAATGGCTATGCAACTCTTCCTGTTATCTCCATATGAGGGTACAGCTCTAAAACTCAGTTTAATGGTTCTGAGGCCGGCTGGTAGTAAGGTTTCCCGAGCTCTGTGGTAGCTCTCAGAGAGGCTGATTCCATCAACAGCTGCAAAATATCAGAGTATTAACAGTGCCATGTTGCACATGAATGGTGTCCCTGTTAAAGCTTTTGGTGTGCATTGTCAAGGCCACATAAGGAGCTCTATGTCACGGCTTAGGGTTAATTAACAGGACTGAACAACTGCATAGCTCATTGAATAGGAGGCTGTGCCCTATCTATGAATGAGTCAAGTTTCCATTAAACCCAAATCATGACCAAAGTAACCAAAAATTTAAAACCTAAAAAACCATCTCAACCACCTAAATATTTTAATATATCTTTAACAAATATTCGCGGTCTACCAAGCAACTTTCCATCAGTTGAGTCTTACCTGCAAAATTCACCAGACTTGCTTGCACTCAGTGAAACAAATTTAAATTCTGCAATTCCTTCTTCAGATGTCAGTGTTGATGGGTACTATCCTTTGATTCGTAAAGACTTCTATAGTCACATGCTAGGTTTAGGGGTATACATACGCATTAATTCCCCTATTTGTCGTGAAATCAGGTTGAATCCTTTGACCATTCTTTTATGTGCTTTCGCCTAGCACCTCTTCATTCTATCACCTTTCTTTTTGTTCTTTATCGTTCTCCTTCTTCCCATGATTGCACTCTTTTAGATGTTATCTCTGATCAAATTGGCCATGCCCTCTCTCTTTACTCCTCTGCCAATATTGTTGTTGTTGGTGATTTTAATGCCCATCACACTGAATGGTTTGGCTCTAACACCACTGATCTTGATGGCACTAAAGCCTTTAACTTCTGCGTTTCTCAATCTCTTACTCAGATAGTTAACTTTGTGACTCGTTTTCCTGACAACCCTAATCATTTACCTTCACTCCTTGACTTATGTCTTGTCTCTGACCCTAGCTTATGTTCAGTTTCTCCCTTTTCTCGCTTAGGTGGTTCTGACCATGCAATGATCTCTATAAATCTTTCTTCTCGTACTTCTTTTTTGGGCTCACCTTATCATCGCACCACCTACTACTACCCTAAAGCTGAATGGGATTCCTTTCGTGATTTTCTTCGTGATGGTCCTTGAGCTGATGTTTTTTCTCTCCCAGCTGACAAATGCGCCTTCTACGTAACCTCCTGGATTCAGGCTGGAATGGAAGCTTTTATTCCTTCGCCTCGGTTTCAAGTCAAGCCTCATTCTACTCCATGGTTTTCTCCTTCTTGTGTGGCTGCTATATCCAATTGTAATCATTATTTTCATCTTTTTCAAAAGAACAACTCTCTTGAGAACAAACGGCTATTTATTATTGTAAGAAATCGATGTAAAAAGGTGCTTTCTGATGCTAAACTCCATTATTCTCAGTTCACTAAATCTCGCATCTTATCGCAGAAGTTAGGCTCTAAAGACTTTTGGAAAATCTTCAACAGCATTACTAACAAGGGTAGATCTAACATTCCATCTCTCATTCATGGGACTGATCTTATTACCTCTCCCAAGGATAAGGCAGAACTATTTGCAAAGAACTTTTCTTCTAATTCCACTCTTGAATCTTATGGACATTCTCTTCCTTCCATTCCAGTCAAACAGGTTGACCCATTGTTAGACATTCAAATCACTCCGGCTTCTGTTGCTAAAGTCATATCTCAATTAAACTTGTCTACAGCTTGTGGTCCAGACACTCCTGTCACAGTCTTGCAGATTTGTTCTTCAGAACTTTCTTCAATTCTCTCTAAACTATTTAAGAAGTGTTTGACTGAGTCTTGTTTTCCTGCTTGTTGGAAAATGGCATCTGTGGTTCCAATATTCAAAAACTCTGGAGAAAATTCTGACCCCTCCAATTATCGTCCGATTAGTCTTCTTTCTGTTATTAGCAAGGTCTTTGAGTCTTTGATCAACAAATTCCTCACATCTCATCTTGAGTCAAATAAACTACTGTCAGACAATCAATACGGTTTTCGATCCTCTCGCTCTACGGCCGACTTGCTAACTGCTGTAACTGAAAGATTTTATTGTGCATTAGATGGAGGCGGTGAGGCTAGCGCTATTGCTCTCGACATATCTAAAGCTTTCGACAAAGTTTGGCATGCTGGTCTTTTCCATAAGCTTGCTTCATATGGTGTTTCTGGGAAAGTTTTTGAGATTATCAAATCATTTCTATCTAACCGGTTTATTAAAGTCATCCTTGAAGGCCAACACTCTTCTTTATATCCAGTAACTTCTGGGGTTCCCCAAGGTTCCATCCTGGGCCCTGTTTTGTTTCTTATCTACATAAACGATCTTCCTGACAACCGTTCATCTAAAGTAGCTCTTTTTGCTGATGACTCAACTTTATACTCCTGTCTTGACAAAAAGTCTTCTCTTTTCGATCGCCTAGAACAAGCAGCTGATCTTGAATCCGATTTCATTTCAGTAATAGATTGGGGTTCACGGTGGCTTGTGAATTTCAACTCTAAAAAAACCCAGTTGCTTACTGCAAACAACTACCGTAATATGGTCAACATTCCTACAATAATGAGAGGCAATCCTCTTACTGAGTCCTCCTCTTTACGTCTTCTTGGATTATCGCTTACTACTGACCTTTCATGGAAACCATATATACAATCGATTGCTAAATTAGCTTCTGCTAAGGTTGCTTCTCTTTATCGTGCTCGCCATTTCCTTACTTCTGATTCCATTCTCTATCTCTACAAATCTCTTATTCGTCCCTGTATGGAATACTGTTGTCATATTTGGGCTAGTTCTTCTAACGATTCACTTTCTCTTCTTGACAAGGTCCAAAAACGCATTGTAAATGTTGTTGGACCTGGACTATCTGCTAAGCTTGAACCTCTTTCCCATTATCATAGTTGCATCTCTTTCTCTTTTCTACAGATACTATCATGGTCACTGCTCAAAGGAGTTATCATCTCTAGTTCCATCAACTAAAATTCATTCTCGTTTTACTCGTCATTCAGCTAAGTCTCATTCGTTTACTGTATCTGTCCCTGCATGCTCTAAAAACTTTTATTCTTCACTTCAATCCATTGGAACTCTCTCCCATATTCATGTTTTCCTGACTCATACAACCTTCAACTTATCAAGTCTTCTGTCAACCGTTTCCTTGCTCTATAACTCTGTTCTTCTTTTTTTTCCTAGTAACTCCCAACTTAATAGTGGTTGCTTGCAGCCTTGTTGGGAGTGAATGCAAATAAAAAAAAAAGAAAAAAGAAAGCAATCTAATTTAATCTAATGTAATGAAGAACAAAACTAAAATACATATTTGTTGACAGTTAATATGGGTTGTTTAAATACTTGTTTAAGCACATACTAATGTTTTCACTAGGTGTTTCCACTATGTTTCGACTATCTTTAAATACTTGTTACATGGGCACAGAATCAATCTTTTTTTATAAAAAGGATTTATCAATCCTAAAAACATCTTGTAAAAACATAAGTATTTTAACAAAAATAAATAAATAATAAAACAAAACTATTGTCACTATTTTTAATCAATTTAATTTTGTATAAACAGTACTTTAAACAGTTGTATCTCTTTTTCTTTAAAAAGCAAATTTTTTGTTTATACACTAATCAAAAAGTTTTGTACAGTGCTTTCAGAAACTTTTTTAAAAAGTTTAGTTTTGTCATTAGGAATTAAGCAGAATCTTTACTTTGTCAGAATGTAAAAAAATATTCTTGATCAAGTTTTGTGTGCTTTATCTTATCATAAAAGTGAAATGCTGTATAAAGTCCTAATATTCTCTTTAATTAAATTCCAGAAAATTATTTGAATTATTTTTTAGGTGATGCTTTGTTTTGCTAGTATTGCTTGCTTATGTTTAAAAGTTTTTATCATAAAATATTTTAATATATAAAAGTGATGATTTTTAATGGTAATATTTTGCTCTGACTTTACAAAGTGACTTAGCTTAAATATAATGCATTACTCTTAACAGAATCTTTTATAGTTATCTATTATAGTACCTTACCAAAACAATCAATTACTTCAATGTTGCTCCCATTACAATGAGTCATAGTATGAGAACTATTGCACTCTCTCGTTCTGTTCATAAATCCATATATTGAATTACAACTTGACCAGATACTCCATTGTGACCAAAAGACTAAAATAAAAAAAACATGAATTTAATAATTCTATTAATTCATTTATAAATTAATATTTTACCAAGAAGTTATGGCAACTTGCAAATTTCTATTTATTTTATAATTAGAAAATAATTAAAATATAAATGTTAAGTTACTTTATGAATTAAGAAACCAACTATGAAAGTAATAAATTTTATAATGCTTTTTTATAAATACTGATATTATATATAAATATATATATTGTAAATTATATATATAAAAAAAAAAAAAATATTGTATATTGTATATTATATATATATATAAAAAAAAAAAAATTAACTTCAAACAAAAAAACAAAACAAAAACTTTATTGCTAAAATTTAACAATTCCTTATAAAAGGTTGAAATCTCATTTAAAGACACTAAACTAAACTTGTTGTTATTTAAATAAAGCATTTATAGTGAAAAGCATTATGGTTATACCGGCCTTAAAATGAAGTAAGGAACCCTTAATGGATAAAGGTATATTAAGGGCAAATATTTTTATCAATTTAAATTTATAATAGCTTATCTTACTTATTTGATAAAGTTTAGCTTATATTAATCAATTTTAAACATTAAAGTTTGTTTATGACAAATCCTAATAAAGGATCAGTAAGTGCAAAACCAGGGCCTAGCCCTTAGTTGACTTAAATTTTATGGAATTTAAAAATTCAGGAGAAAAACATTTTACAGATTGATTTTTGTAAATGCATTGTTTTTATTAGCATGGTTTTTTTATTGTATTATCAAAATTTGTTGGTATTAACTTTGAATTGTTACTTATTTTAATTTAAGTATCTGATGGAGTACATCAGTCAAAAATGTGTTTTAATTTATTATTTATTTGATAAATCAATATCAATTGTTCATGCTGTTGATGTTGTTGGATAGAATCCTGAAGAACTAAAAAAACTCAAAATTTGTATAAGAGTTGAATTAATGGTGATAAACAACAATATGATAAAGGTAAATTTGAATCACTGTAATTTGATAGTATTGTTTAATAATTACAATACAACGCTTTATTTTGTGAATATATATATGATTAGGTTTTAGTTATGAATTGTTTATGAAATGAAAATGAAAAAACAATCAATAAATTTTATACAATCTTATTTCTACCCGGTCCGTGGCTTAAATAGACAACAACTGCCTCTAGTTTATGTAAATATAAAATACAATACTATGTTTATAGATATGTTTACATCTTCTGTTTATTTAGTTTTTTATGATTTTTTTATTTTTTTAAAGAAATTTTTATCCAAATTTTTTTTAATCAACTTATTTTAACAATCCAATTCAAACAGCTTCTGAAGACTCAAATTTTGATACAGATTTTTGTTCTGAGTCAATGGTAATGTTTTTTTTTATTGTAACATCTATAAAATATTTTGATATTTTAAGCACAACATAATCAGGATACTGCTGTTAAATTAGTTGTAGAGCCACTGCCATTGCTAAAAACTCAAAAATTTTCTTTTACACAGATAAAGATTTTAATTTTAATTATGCCAATGTTGTTGGAGGTTAAAAACTATAAATTGTATACAAACTTATTTCAACCCAGTGCATGACTAAAATAGACAAGGAGTGCTTTCAGTTGATGTACATATAAAATGCAAAACTATGTTTATAGATATGTTTATAACTTTTTATGTTTAGTTTTTTATGGTTTTATATTTTTTTAAAGAATTTATTATCCAGTTTTTTTTTTAAATCATCCACTTGGCTCAACTTCTGAAGACTCAAATTTTGATACCAATTTTTGTTTTAAGTCATTGGTAATTTTTTATTTATTCCAACAGTTTAGAAAGTTTGTTTAGTAATTTTTTATCCATAAAATATATTGATATTTTAGGCTCAGCATATCTAGGATACTGCTGTTTAATCAATTTTAAAGCCCCTGTCACCGCTAAAAACTAATTATGTCAATATTATTTAATTGATTTTTGCACCAAGTTATTAGCACTATATTTTTAGAATACAAAAAAACAAACAAAAACAAAAACAAATAACTAAACATCATCAAGTGTATGTAAATATACAGATAATTCTGCTATAATTTTTCAAATGATAAGTTTTTGATACAGCTTTTTATTGTTTTAGTGTTTCTCTTCAATACTACTTCAAAACTACAAGTTGTCAAATTAATGTATGTTATCTTTTCTTTTTCTAAACCTTAAAGGTAAAATAAATTTATATAATTTTACTTTATTCTAGTTTTATTGCATCAGAACATAACTTATTTTAAATTTGGTGTTGATGATAATTTGAGATTTATTCTATTTTGTGTTATTGATATATATATTTTAAAGATTTCTAGTTTGTCATTACCTGCATCTATCCAGGCAACTGCAATTTTTTTTTAAATTAAATATACTTCTATATCTTTCACATAATAAGTTTGATTATGTTAATGTCTCTTTAATTTCAAATAGGTTTCAAGCGTTCTACAGAGAGATAATTAGTCAAATGTATGCTGTAAAATATTTATTTTTCATGCAAAAGTATTATCTTGATAAGTATATATATATATATATATATATATATATATATATATATATATATATATATATATATATATATATATATACATATATATATATATATATATATATATATATATATATATATATATATATATATATATATATATATATATATATATATATATATATATATATATATATATATATATATATATATATATATATATATATATATATATATATATATATATATATATATATATATATATATATATATATATATATATACACATATCAAGATATGTCTAAATCGTGAATCATTTAGTCCACAATGTTTGAAAATTTTTTATTGCTTAGGCTCAGTGTTTATAATTACAATGATTTTTCTTGGAAAATAGGTGTATTATTTGTTTTAAGTAACAGGTCATTTTCTTTTATAAGACGCACTTTCTTTCATAACAGGTCACTTTCTTATGAGTGGGTACATATTTTGTGAACTAAAATATATTTAATCTAAGTTGGCAAGCTTTAAACAAAGGTAGGGAAAGTTGGAAGGACGTTTTTGTAATGATCCTGTTGATCAGAATACCAGCCAAATTCAGTTCCCAATTTTCAACTTTGTATAGCATTATTCTGAAGTTGGAAAGCACCCAAAAAATATGGTATGTTTTTAATAATTTTTGAATATGCAAGTAGCCATAAACTGTTGGTTTCGGAATGTAATAATAATTATATAAAAGATTTCTAAATTTTTTTAGCAGTCATGGATAATGCTTGTAGGAGGGTTGATTGTCCATGACCATATTTAATAAGTTAAACATGGTCATAGGCAATCAACCCTCCAAGAGTGTTTAATAAGTTGATGACACATGACATGCAAAAAAAGATCAACAGGCCTAGAACACATGGCAAAAGTTTTTTGATCATCTGGAAATGCTGCTTAATAGTGAGTGAAATTTAGAGTTACTTCAAATAATTTGGATATAAAAAATATATTGATATTAAATTTTGAATAGGAGTCTTGTGAGTAACCCATTTGACTTACAATCACTGTTTGAAACAATAATATGAAGTAACGAAAGTTGTTAATCTATTGTTATTAACAATTTACTTATATTTATATGCATATTTATATTGTCGATGTGATATATTATATGTAACAGTCTCTTAAATAAATAGTAATTAACATAATAATTACTATTTATTTAATTATAATAATTATAATAGTGATTATTTTATTTTTATTTTTTTGATATATTTATAGCTTTAACTATTTACTTTTTCCCTGTATCACAAAAAATGAAGTTGAATTAAAAATGGCACGGTTTTTTAATAATGCCAAAGATTGCCCTGGTGGTCGGTTGCAGTGATGTAAGAAAACAGTAGTTTGGATTGAAGTGAAAGATACAGTCACCAAAAAAGTAAAGGGAACAATGAAGATGATAACGCTCCTCTATAAAAGAAACAAGAGGCATCTTTTAATAAATAATAATATCTTTTATTTTGAATAGCATTACTATGTAAATAATATGCAATACATAACAGTTTATGTATTATGAATCGTTATAATAAATATATTTAAAAAAAATTTGCTATACTTTATAAAAAAAAAAATTTAAAAAAACAAACACACCTTACTACTCCAGGGCTCGAATTAACGCAAAAAAATCTAATCGCAAAAAAAAAAAAATTTCACCCACCCCTTATACCTTGCGGTAAGGAGTGGGTAAACGAATAAGATCAAAGCATAAAAGCAAATTTATAATCTATAGACCAAACAAGTAAGATCAAAGCATAAAAACTGTCTGTATCTTTCGCGTCATATCACGTCTTTTATAAATTATCGATTCCTGATCAAGCGTACTATTAAAAATTTAAGTATAATTAAGTTATTTATTCAAATGTATTTTAAACTGACGTTTTCATTTAATTCTTTTTTATTCTAATTGTTTTCCAAAAAAAAGTGAAACAAAAAATTTTGTTTAATAAATCGAATTATATTAAGCATAAGAATATGCTTAAATTATTTTTTTAGAAAAAATTTTTTTCGAACAAAAGTAAAATAATTTATTAAATTTAATTTAAATTTTTTATAATTTTTATTTTAACTTGCAATTTGCAATCACTGGTTTGATGCTTGCAATAGAATTTTTTTACTTTTAAAACTATTTTCAAGAAAAAATATATAATTCAAAACGTTAACCAAATATAAGATTTAAGATAAAAAAACCCTCTTCTTCATTTTCCATTGTTTCATCAAACTTTTTTTAAATTTTTAAATTTTTTTTAAATTTCAATCACAAAATTATTTGAATAAGTGAATTTTAAGGCTAAAGTTCTCTTGTTCAAATAGATTTCTTTTTAAATAAAATTCCTGAAAACAATTGCGTATATATATATATATATATATATATATATATATATATATATATATATATATATATATATATATATTTATATATATATATATATATATATATATATATATATATATATATATATATTCATATATATATAAATATATTTATATATATATAAATATAATTATATATATATATGCATATTTTATATATATATATGCATATTTTATATATATATATGCATATTTTATATATATATATATGTATATTTTATATATATATATATATGCATATTATATATATATATATATATATATATATATATATATATATATATATATATATATATAATATATATGTATATAAAAAAACCGGCTTCAGTGGCTGTCAATTCATACATTGACTTAAGACTCAAGAAAAATGGTAACCCATAAAAAAATTGTAATAAAATAAAAATAAGGTACTAATCAACTAATTTTGTAAATACAGCATTTATTTGGCTATATCATGCCACACTTTAAATTGTTTTATCTCTTTTTCTTGAACAAGCAAATTTTTTGTTTATACACTAATCAAAAAGTTTTGTACAGTGCTATTAGAAACTTTTTTAAAAAGTTTAGTTTTGTCATTAGGAATTATTAATTAGAATCTTTACTTTGTCAGAATGTTATAAAATATCCTTGCTCAGATTTTTATCTTATCATAAAAGTGAAATGCGGTAAAAAGTCCTAATATTCTCTTTAATTAAATTTCAGAAAATTTTTTCCATTTTTTTTAGGTGATGCTTTGTTTTGCTAGTATGGCTTGCTTACGTTTAAAAGGTTTTGTCATAAAATGTTTTAATATATAAAATCATAGTAGTGATGATTTTTAATGGAATATTTTGTTCTGAATTTACAAAGTGACTTAGCTTAAATATAATGTATTACTCTTAACAGAATCTATTATATTTATCCATTATAGTACCTTACCAAAACATTCAATTACTTCAATGTTGCTCCCATTACAATGATTCAAAGTATGAGAACTATTGCACTCTCTCGTTCTGTTCATAAATCCATATGTTGCATTACAACTTGACCAGATACTCCATTGTGACCAAAAGACTAAAATAAAAAAAACATGAATTTAATAATTCTATTAATTTTATTTATAAATTTATGATTTTACCAAGAAGCTAGGGCAACTTGCAAATTGCTCTATATTTTATAATTAGAAAATAATTAAAAAATAAATGCTAAGTTATTTTATCAATTAAGAAATAAACTATGAAAGTAATAAATTTTAGAATGCTTTTTTACTGATATTGTATGTGTATAATACTGATATTGTATGAGTATAAAAAAAATAACACTAGATAAAATTAAAACATATTGTTAGAAATAAAATCTGTAATTGTATTTTTATTATTATAACTAAAAAAAAAAAATTGTTACCATAGCACTCCATTACATCAACGTTGTTACCATCACACCAGTCAATGGAATTTGAAACATTACACTCTCGAGATCTGTTCATATATCCATATGTATCATTACAATGTGACCATGTGCTCCATGGTGTCAAAAAAGCTAGAGTCGTAATCAAAATATAAAAATAAGTAGACTTAGTAATAATTAGGACTTTATACTTGAGCAAAAAGAAAAAAGAAAATATTTTAAATAGAGTAATACAGTTGCATTCAGGCAGATAAGTATCTAAACAAAAGTTTTATTGTGAAAAAAAACTTTGTCAGATTGTTTTAGAAAGTTTTTACTAAATATTTTATTGAAAATACTGAAAGCAAATTTGATCAAAAAAAAACCAAATTACTTCTTTGCTAAAATTTAACAATTCCTTAAAAAGGTTTTAAATCTCATTTATAGATACTAAACCAAACATGTTGTTTTTTAAGTAAAGCATTTATAGCGAAAAGCATTATAAGTCTATAAGCGTTGGGCTTGTCACTATTTTAGCACATTTTAATTGTTAATTACTTAAAAATGACACCATACATTACTCCTAAAACTTTGAATGCAAATTTATATATAAAAGAATGCCTAAAGAAATGCATTTTGCTATTTATTAAAAATCATGAGATGCCCATAAAATTTTGGCCTGATTTAGCTATTTAGTACTACTCCAAGAATTCTCTAGAATGGTATGAACAAAATGGCATCAAATTTGTACATAAGTGAGCAAATCGTACAAATTGTATTGAAATAAATAATTTAATTAGCTTTATTGTGTCGAAAAATTACAAAAATCTGTTAAGTAGTTTTTGCGTAATTAACAATTAAAGCGTGCTGAATTTCATCGAGGTCAACCGATAAAAAACTTAGGCTCAGATTATGAATAAAATATATAAAATAAAATAACAAATGAAATTTTCAAAATTTAGACCATATAAATTAATAAAAGAAAAATTTATATAGGTTTAAGTTTCAATAAAAATATGATTTTTGATTAAAGTTGAACCTAAATCAAATCAAAGTGAATTTTAACCGGTTTGAAATGAAAAAAGTTCTTTCTGATGTTAAACTCTGCTATTTCATTTTACTAAATCTTGTATCCTATTTCAGATGTTAGTTTCTATAGACTTTTAGTAAGTCTTCAACAGTTATTAACTAAAGTAAGACTATCATTTTATCTCTAATTCATGGGTCTGATCTTTTTACTTCTCCCTAGAATAAAGCAGAGTTGTTCGCAAAGAAATCTTTAATTTTACTCTTGAATATAATGGCCATACTCATCCTGACAGTTAAACAGATTAACCCATTGTTAAACATTGAAATCACTCTGGGCTTCAATGCTAAAGTTAATTCTCAATTAAACACTTTAACAGTTTGTACTCCAGAACAGATTTTTATCATTTAAAGATCTTAAAAAAGTGTTTTCCAGAACTCTCTTATATTTTTGCTAAATTAAAAAAAAATACTAAATAAGTGGTTACTATTTTTTAAAACTCTAGAAAACACTTTGATGTCTCCATAGGGCTAATCATAGGATAGTTATCCTATGATTAACCTTCACTATGTTTTTAGTTAAAATTTAAAGGTTTTAAGGTTATTAAATTATTTCTTTATAACTGCAGTAGTAAAGTTATTCTTGAAGACCTACCCTCTTCTTTATTTCAAGTAACTTTAAGGATAGCACAAGGTTCAATTTTTGCTCCTGTATTGTTTCTTATCTACAACAATGATCTTTATTAAGGTAGTTCTAAAAACAACATATTGGCACCCCCTAAATGTGTTATATGTAATAAATTAATACTTTATTAAAAAAATTTTGAATAAAATTTTTTTTTTGGGGTCGCTCAAGACCTTTAAACATCAGGCGGGTCTCTAATAATTTAAAAAACAAAGTTCTTTAAAAGCATATTATGTTAAGTTTCAAAAAAATAGAAATTTTATAAAACATGCAAAAACAATAATCATTTTATATAAAGATTAAATTTCATGGCTTAAAAATAAAACTATCATTTAAAAAAAAAAAAAAAAAAAGTAGAGTAAAACGGGGTAAAACTGAACACTTATCTTAATAATTAACTTTTTTTTATATTGTAAAATGATTTAAAAATTTTTTTATTTTTGTTTTTGTTGAGAAAAACGAGCTCTATCCGAATATGTAAAATAATAAAAAAATGATGGAAAGTTTTTTAGTAAAATGAATTTATTTGAAAAATAAAAATGTTCACTTTTACCCAACAATTCAGTTAAAACTGAACGTGTTTATTTAAATAATTATAATAAAAACAATTTACAAACAGAAAACAATTAATTTACAAAATAATAGGAATAATTTACAAGAAGATGATATCTTAGGACATTTATATTTTAAAAGTTTTGACATTTTTTTGTACAATAAAATTCTTCATCAGTTTTATATTTTTTTGGTAAACATGTTTGACAAACCCAGCTTTTGCAATTTGTACTTTCACATGTAAACCATTTACAATTATAATTTTTGCCATTTTCATTCCACAATTTACGGCATTTTTTTCATTTTTTTTGCTGTCCAGAATTCTTTTTTTTTTTTTTGCTGCTTCGAAGGTTGTAACTCAACTTCATCAGCAGCATTAAATTCAAGTTTGCGCTTTTTTTTTTAATAATTCTTCAGCTTGTCGTAGCCTTTCTAGAATATCAGCTTCATTTAGGCATACACATTCTACTCTTTTCATGTTAAAATTACTTTTTTTTTTGCGTTGATGGTTTGGACTCGAAAATGTTCTTTTAAAGATATTTCAAGTCCAATTACTCCTTGATTCAATGCATGTATTGCTGGTGTTACTAGACAAATTGGTATTTCAATAAGTTGCAAATTGATATTGTGTTGATTGAGAGGGTGTGTTAAGATTTTTATTAGATTGATTTTGTGTAAGTTGAGCTGTTGTAGGCTGAGTTTGTGGAGGATCAAATGTTTCAGCAATTTGTAATTGGGATTTATCCATTTTGTTTATATTAAGAGGAAATAAACCAGTATTTTCAATTCCTCCAATTATTTGTATTCGTGTAAATACTTCGCCACTGTTAAAAAGTTAGGTCTGAAGCTAAACAAAACTTTTTTTCGATAAATTGCTGCATAATTTGCTAGCATAATGCTGTTGTAATAATTTTTACCAAACTTTTTTGACATGACAATATACTCCCACATCTAATGGTTGAAGTATGTAGGAGTGAGCTAGTAAGCATATTAACTTGATATTATTTTCAATGCAAGTTGTTGCAATTTGATGTTACATGTGTGTTATGATCATCCAATACTAATTCATGTGTACCAGGAGTTTTTTTAATTGTTGGTATAAATAATTTATTAAGGAATTGCATAAACTGTTTATCTTTCATCCATCTTGACGGTGAAGTTGTATATTCAGCATTTAACGGACCACCTAAACACCAACTGCTGTATAGACATTGTTTTTAAATAATTTGAACAGCTGCGTTGATTCAATCACCAACTGTATATATTATTTTTTCATTATTACCGACTTACCAATTTTAATGGACGTTTAGCACCAAGTCTGCAAATTATTGATTTCCTGCCTTGGTCTTAAGAAAACCCAATTTTGTTGAAATTCCATAAATTGCACACACTATTTTCATTAATATGTGGTTCAAGAAATTGATTTTCACATGTTTGAAAATATTCTGCTGCAATTTCTTTAGTGCAAGATGATGATCTCAGTGTTATATGTTGCTTACAGCTCTAATGCTTAATTTGTGTCTCCATCTGTTAATAAAATGATAATACCAGTCTTTACCGGGTCAGCCATTTTTAAATAATCTGGTTTGATTTGTAACTTTTAAATAATCGGCAACAATATCTATGGTTTCCCTTTGTGTTTTACCAAAACCACAATATGGTAACTTTGCCAGCATTTCCACTAATATTAATTCAACTGAACTACTTAGAGTTGATCCTGTTGCTGTACCAGACTCTTTCGAATTCACACAATTATTTACACGATATGACAAGGTACCTTTTAAAATATTGTATATTTGAAATGCTTTGCATAAACTAATTTCACCGCTATTTATTCTTCTAAACGTCTCCTCAGAGTATTTTTTTGAGTTATTTTTTTATAATGACTTGGTATTTTGAATTGATTTTGATTTTGTTAACTGATTTAAGTTTATTTAAATTTTGTTAACTGATTTAAGTCCATTTTGATTTGTACAAGAAATATTATTGATTTAAGTCCATTTTGATTTGTACAAGAAATTGTTATAAGTAAATTATTTCAAAGAATAAGATATAGTAACAATAAAAAATGGTAATTATTGATAGAGATAAAAAGTTAATTAATTAATTACATGCGAATAATAGCTAAGTGTGAAAACTATTAGTGTTCAGTTTTACCCGAATATATGACTTTTCCGTAATTGTTTTATAACATTTTTCAGGAAATAACAATTTCATTTCTGAGAAAAAATTCTTAATCAACGTAACTTTTATTACAAATTTGTATTTTTACTTTAATGTTGTTTCATTTTATTTCCGAGATTTTTAATTCGCAATTATAATAAAATTTAAAAAAATTAATACTCATGTTCAAATTTTTGAATTTGGTATGAAAATTATTTATTGCATTTGGTTTATTTTAATTTTATAAGATAGAGCACACAATTCCTTATAATTTATAAGCAAAATAGTTTTTAAATATTTCCGTTTAAAAACAAAATATTTTAAAATATCATAAGCGTTTAGTATTTCCTGCTGTTCAGTTTTATCCCGTTTTACTCTACATATCTTCATAGTTTTTTTAAATTTAAAAACTTTTAATTTGTGTTTTTTTTCTAAAATTTTTTAAATTATTTTTAAAATTTTTAAATTGAAATTTGAAAATTTCACTTCTCATAACAAACCTCTTACTCTCTGACTGAGTCAAAAAGCAATTATGTAAATGTAAATGTAATTATACCTGCTTTATTTGCCAAGCTTGAGCCACTCTTCCATTGTTGTGCTATGGGTCTTAAAAAGACCCATTACACTTTTTGAAATCAAAGGAAGATAATAGTTTCTAGTTGAGAATAATTAATTTCTAGTTGAGAATAGAACCTTTCAATGATTTGTCTTTATTTTATACAAGAACTTAAAATTTTAATAGCTATTTTTAAATTGTTCTGCCTTGTGGCACATTCATTAGAAATATGATCAAATATTTGATATTATATCTGAAATATGTGTATAAAAGTTGAACTTGATCATAAATAATAGCAATATTTAAATTGGATTTTTTTTAGATAAAAGAAAATGTTCAGGAAAACATTAAAATGGAAGTGAATTCCAAAACATTAATGTTAGAGGAAATTTGCTCTTTTGAGCATTTTAATAAGTCTTTTAAGCAATCCAAGGAACAGTAAAAAGATAACAACTGGTGAGGAGAAATTAGATGAACAAAAATCAAAGCCTAAAAAATAAAAGCAAAATTTTTTTTAAACATTTTTTCTAGTTAATACAATATTTATTTTATCAAAATTATTTTTTACAAACCGACAGCACTCCGTTGTCGACTATTAATCTCAATTTTGTCTTGATACCCTTCATAAGTGATTGTAATAATGTTACATCAAATTTTTTCAAACATGCATTGATATGCCTAATCAATTGTTGTGAAATTTTGGCCTCCCATCCACCCTTATACACATTCTGAGCCAATACTCCCCAAAAGTCTTCAATTGGCCAGGCTTTGGGAACATTAGGAGGGTTCATATCAACCGGCACAAAATTTATATTTTTATGCATCCAGGAAATGGCCTCATTAGACCTATGAGTACTAGCTAAATCTGGCCAAAAAATTAAGTCTTGATGATACTTATCGATGAATGGTTGTAGATCTAAGCATTCTTTGATATAAATACTTGATTTTATTGTAGTTGATGTTGTTGTCCAGATAATGTTTGTTTTTCCCACAAAACAAACATTATCTGGACATTTGTCTTTATCGTCTGTATAATATCAGGCATTTCCAGGCATTTCATTGTCACTAAAACAATCATATTTTTGGTCATCTAAAATTAAAACACTCTGTTCTTTATAGAGGTGATTCACAAGTTTTTAGCTTCTTTTTTGTACCCTCCATCATTGTATTTGGGTGTTTTTCACGTTTATGGTACTTAATGTTCATTTTGGCCAATTGTGTAAAATTGTCTTTTGATCGACGTTTGATTTACATGCGAGTTTTCTTTGACTTATAATTTTTCAATTGTTGGTCAACCTGTGAAGTTTTGCTTTTTTTTTCTCAAGTCCACAATGATGGGCGTCTAGAACTTTTTGTAGCTTTTAAACACTGTCCTGTAAGGTGTCCCTTGAAATATATTTATATGCTGTTTTGTGACAAAAATCTTTAATAAATTGGTTAGCAGCTTCAGCTTTGGTAGCTTTTGGATTTTTTACAAAATAATGTTTAACATTATTTTGAAGAACTGCTCTTTCTTTGCTGCTTAACATTTTTTTTGAATAATTTTTTTGTTAAATAAAACTAGAATATTTAAAACTACAAATTACATTCGAATATTAAAATAAAATATTATGGATTTCAAGTTAACTTTTGTGTAACTAATTTCTCCTCGCCCTTAATAAAAAGAATAAAAATCTCACTTGAGGTTATGTGAGCTTTTATCTTTTTTTAATTGCCATATAATATCAGTAACAATTTTTATATATTATTTTTTATATATATATTTTTTTCATATGATAAAAAATTGTGTTATAATACTATATAAACAAAAATAAGAATATGCTTGTGAAGAAAAATGAAATAAATATAAAAGATAAAAATAACATGAACAAGATTTTACTAGAAGAACATAGAAATAATTGTTTAGTGTTTTAAAAAAAAATATTTTTTAAGAATTTAAATGAATTTTCTTAAAAATTTAAATAAAAACTTGCAACTAGAAAAAATCTAAGTACCAACAAGCATTACAAACAATTTTTCTTTCTCAATAGTTAACAGTGACATGAAGGCAAAAACCATCAACACCTCTACTCTATACCCAATTAAAATTTTTTATTTCCATTAGACTTTATTCTTTTTCAACATCACCCTTATTAATTTAATCTATTTTACAGTTTCACACAAAGAGCAAGAGAGTTGCAATTTAAATAATATGTTAATTAATCTACGCCAATCAATCACTCACTTGAGCAGGCTTACCAATAATGCTCATCTTTTACCAGGCACTAGGTATCTTTAAACTTATGAGAGATTCTTGTACCATCTAGTAAAACTCATTCTTGTGTAACTCATCATTTAATTAAGACTCATCCTTTTACTGTGACTGCTCCTAAGTTCTCCAAAAATTCTTATTCGCCTAGTTTTTTTCCTTGAACATCAGTTCTTTGGGATTCGCTTTCTTCATCTGTTTTCCTGATTTATATAATTTGCAATCTTTTAAGCTGTCTGTTAATCGTTATCTTGCTCTGTAAAATTTATCTTTTCTCTTACAGAAACTTCCAACTATTATAGTGGTTGCTTGTGGTCTTGTTGGAAGAGGAGAAAAAAAACAAAAATCAAACAAATTTGGAAATAACTTTTTTCTTTGGAAAAATATAAATTCTCTTGAATACAAGCTGTTTCTTCTCATGAAATTGTCATACTAACATTTGCTTGCAGAAAATTTTGAAACTTAAGACATACAAAACAAACTAAGGCAAATTGAGGGTCCAGGTTAACGTGACTCTACTTTTTATACTCAAATGAACGTGAATCCTTTTTTTTTTTTTTTTTTTTGCTTAATTAAAAAAAAACCAAACTATATTTTCCAAATCTTTTAAAAATAATTTTTTACCTTATACTTTTGGTATAATTTTTTATTTTTTATAAGGGCAAGAACTGAAAAACTTAAAATAGATTAATATTTAATAAAAGTATATTTTAGTATACCTAACATTATAAATAATAAATGCATCAATTTTCTTAAAATTTATAATAACTATAATATTTAAATATAAATAAGTTGATAAAAAATCTGGTCAAATTTTTGGAAGTCAAGTTAGCTTTCATTGCAGATTGATTAAAAAAAATAAAAATAATAAATAAAAATAAACAAGAGCTGCTGTAGCTGTATGTTGACTGTCTTCCCTATTACTGTAAATGTCAGAAATTCATTTAGACTAAAATTTTAAATAAACAACCAATTTTTAAAATAAAAATGATAGGCACTTACTACTGAATGGCAGAGTTGTTAATCCTTGGGCATTAAGGCCAAAAATTTAGGCCTTGGCCTTGGTTTTGAGACTTTTGGCCTTGGTCTAGGTTTTGTAACATGTGGCCATGACCTTGACCTTGCTACTATTGGCCTTGTTAACAACTCTGCTAGATGGCATTTATTTTATAGATTTTTTATTATTTTTAAAAATTTTTAAAAACCTATATACAATTCAATAAGAATATGCAAAATAATAAAATTTAATTAGAATGCTTAAATTGTATAACTATGTATATCAAAAATTTTATTAATTTGTAAAATTCAAGCGTAATGCTTATTCAAGTGGAATACTACAATGTGTTTATACGAGAATCTTTTTATCAGTTCTAATAACTTTTATTAACATTTCATTAACTTTCAATCATAATATAATAATTGATAATTTAATTATTAATTAAAATCAGTTAACTAAACAATAACAATTCTTGTTAATTTGTAAAGTTATTTTTTTAGCTCATTTCAGGTGTTACCTTTTCTTTTTTATAAATAGCTAGATTAAATGAGGAAATCTTTATTAAAATAATTAAATAAATTATTAAGATAAAGCAAAACAAACAAAAAATTAAAAAAAAAAAATTTGTTTCCTACAAAAACATTTTATTAGATCAACATGTTGTCCATAACATTTAGGGTTTAAACTAATGCACTCATTTGTTTTGTTTATAAATTTGTATGTAGCATCACCATTGAAGCATTCACTACATATTGCTACAATAACAAAAGATATATATATATATATATATATATATATATATATATATATATATATATATATATATATATATATACATATATATATATATATATATATATATATATATATATATATATATATATATATATATATATATATATATATATATATATATATATATATATATATAAATATAATATTTAATATAGACTTATTACGGTTTCACAACAATGCAAAAAAAAATTAGAGCCTCACAAACAATCTTTTAAACATAAGAAATATTCAAAAGAGACTATGCTGCCAAAATATACTTAGCAACTAAAATAAAAAAAAAAATAAACTGGTCTATTATAAAAACTGCGCATGCCTATAATCACATTTCTAAAATATGTATACTGTTTATAAGAAAAACTTGAAACTAATACTCATTTAGATCAAGAAAATTTAGTAAATAAAATTAATAAATTAATTTCTAAAAGCAGACATGAAAATAAGTACCATTTGAAAAATTATAAAAACAAATGACCATTATAAAAATATCCTAATTCCAAAGAACTATTTTCATAATTTTTTAATTTTTTTAATGTAGTTGATCCCGGGTTGCAAAATAACTGCAATTATTTCATAATTAATTATATCGATTCTTATAATTTGAATTTTTTGATATTTGGACATTCTTCCTGATGAATCTACTGATGGAGAAACAAGCTGTCAAAGATAAAAATTAAATGAGTGTTTTTACTAATTTGTATGTATTTTTTTCAATTGTAATATATAAATATTTCAAGTGTGCATTTTTTTTATTAAACATTAAAAATCAAAAAATTGTTTTTTTTTTTATAAACGATGCCATTCTATGACAGCAAAAACCTCTTTAACGAATTTTATTATAAGAATAATTAAAGTTTATTCATTTGAAAAGATAAACTTATTGTCGTTGAAAATGTTTTAGAAAGCCATTATAGGCTATTCACATTTGATGGAACATTCCGTGGAACCTCTGATCTCAAAATATAACTAGCGTAAACGGCACATTTTTTGAAGCCAGTTTTGGCCTCCCAAGATGGCGGCGTGTTTAGTTGATTACGAAATTTGGTTACGAACTTTTAAATCCTTTTTAAATGAAAATAAATGTGTAAGCCTCAAATACAAATATAATTTTCGATTTTACATAGCAAATATTTTAACAAGAAATGCAATATTTCGTATTTACATAAATTTCTAAAATATATATAATATTTTGTTTAACAAAATATACTCTTAATAATTAGTTTGTATAATATCTTTCTTTTTTATATAAAAAATTATTTAATTAAATAAGGGAAATTATATAAAATAAAGATAAAATTTTTTATTAAAGTAATTAAAAATTAGTTTATTTAACATTAGTAAGAACGAACTAGAAACTAGTATTATACTTGAACCTAATAGTTAATTATTTGGTTCTACTAATATATATATATATATATATATATATATATATATATATATATATATATATATATATATATATATATATATATATATATATATATATATATATATATATATATATATATATATATATATATATATATATATATATATATATATATATATATATATATATATATATATATATATATATATATATATATATATATATATATATATATATATATATATATATATATATATATATATATATATATATATATAGTCAATTTAGCTACGTATCTGACAATATGAGATCAACACTGTTTTGAATGCTGCAATTTGGAATATCTGCATAATCGTGCTCACTATTAGTTGGTTTACTCTCCAACAAATCATACTTTCTTATAAATTTAATTTCAGTCAGATATTTTAGTACTGGAGTGAGCACAAGAAAAAAGAATCTAAAGCTTTTTAAACATGAATTTGATCTCTGATGCTGCAGTTTCCATTTGAACATTGAACGCTACTTTACATCAAGAGTTGTTTATATGTGTCTGTAAGTTATTGGCATTTGATATTGCTGTTAAACATTCTTGCAGATCTCTTAGCTAAATAAGATCTCACCGCACAATAAAGAGCTTGTTAGATGGTTTTGACTGAGCTCATATGTTAAATGATTTTATAGTGAACTTTCTTTTTCTTCTCAGTCAAGATGTATATTTTAAACAGATTAAACTGCTACTAAATATCTAATGAAATCAGTTTTTAGACTATGAAAGATTGTTTGTGTACCAATTAATCTCTTTAAGACTAATCGTATAATTGAACCCGTTATTTCGAAAAGGGCACAAGTCACACTTTTTTCAAATTTCACTTTTTAATGCAATTTTGTTTATTCAAGTGTTTTACATATTCCCTTTGAAGGAGAAACATTTTCATATGCCACAAGTCAACTTTAAATGCAAATAAAAATTAAAGTCTGTTTGAAAATGGTACAAGTCCCGGACTTATGCCTTTTTCAAGTGAAACGAAGCACAACTGTAGTGACGTAATTTCACTTTATTTGTAACAAAAATAGAAAATCGCGAATTTGCTGAAAATGCATATAGATCAAGAAAAAGAGTGTCTGGTATAAGAAACAGTGGAAATTATAAACACAAAAAAATAAAAAAAGCCAAAATGGCTTTAGAAGCTTATAAAAACTACAAAGGAAATGATGTGGCACCAAGTCAAACGGGTGCTTCTTGCAGGTTAGTTTTTTGTTCTATAGAGTATGACTATATTCATTCTCAAATTTTTGCTTATTTACTCATGTTTTACCACCAATAATTGAAGTTAAAACATTTTGATATATTATTATTATAACATTACCTCGATAGTTTAATTTATTTACAGATGTAATTCAAAGTGTATGGAGCTTGTATCTGATGATTTTATAGAAAGTACAATTCAGTTTGTTAACAAATTTGATTGTAAAAATGCCCAAGACACATACTTGCAGTCATTGATTAAAAAGAAGGAAATAGAGAAAAGACGGTTTAGATCTAAAGAACCTAAAAAAAAAGAATTTTCTTTTATTTATCACTAAGATTGATATTTATCATTAAGATTGAAGGTGTGATAAGAAAAGTACACAAGAAAGCTTTTTGCTGTATGCATGGAATTTCTATATAACAAGTTAGACGTTTATGCATTTTATTAAAAAAAAAGAGCAGCCTATAAATCACAAAGAATCTCAGTGATCACAATGCAACGCATTACCTGGAGATACATTAACAAAGGTACGTGAGCATATCCAAACGAAGTATGTACCTTTGTGCTGAATTATATTTAAAAAAATATTAGCAACGAAGCCAAAGAACTGCACATATTTTCTGATGGTTGTGCAGGCCAAAACAGAAGGCATGCCATGGTCCGAATACTTTTATCACTGGTAGCTGAACCAGATAGCAATATAAATGAGATACAATACTACATACCAAAATGAAGTCACTTATTTTTGCCAAACGATAGAGTGTTTGAAACAGCAAAGCGACATTCGAAAAAATGATCAAATTCTGAAAATGATTCTGAAGCAAGCAAAAAATTTGAAATTAGAAGGCCCAAAACTAAAGATATTATTGATGTAAAAAAATGGTGGCCAAACCATTATAAGAAACTTTTGCTATCTGTGGATTCCTATGGAAAAGGAGTACCCAAGGACAAAAGACTTACTTTTGGTATTTCTAAAGTCTCACATTTCACATTCTCTATTACCACACCAGGTTTAGTGACAACACATGAATCCATAGATTGCTTAGTCAGTTATAATTTCCAGCTATTACAAAGGATGGGTACCCGGTCAACCTTACCATTAAGTACTCCTGCATATGTTGGAAAATTGCCTATCAATGTAAAAAATATATCAGATTTAAAAAAAATATATTCCATATTCAATAAAAGAGTACCAAAACTTCTATACAAAGGTTTTTGCTTTGCCAATAACTTCGGCAAACAATGAATTCCAAGAAATAAGAGATGATTACCTAACAATAATTGTTTTTATGTAATAATAAATCATTATTATTCTGATAGTCTTTGGTTTTTTATATACGAAAAAGTGTTCATTCCGAAAAAGAACATAAGTCCATAAATTTAAATTAGAAACATATGTGTTATATATTATTTTTTTATAACAAATAAAACTCTAAAAAATTAGGTATGACTTTTATTTATCTACTCGTATCTTTAGTTTCATTAGCACCATAGACTTTTTTTCTAATAAACTTATTTTTGTTGATCCTGAAAAGTTTGAATAAATGGACTTGTGCCCTTTTTGAAATGACAGGTTCAAATATATGACATGTCAAGAAATGGAAAATAAAGAATCTTGTTACATGCACACAATGCTAATTGTATTCATTGGCAAATAGGTTTCTTGAATTTAATATGTCGTAACCAATCTTTTATGTGAATAAACTCATCGGTATACATATAAAATTATTTAACTGCAACATACAGTTTAATAATATAAAAAAGCAAACTATAACATATATCTGTAATTCTTAACAGCAGGTAAACATTATATATAACTTTAATTAAAGAGATATTTCAAAGAGGTGTTTTGAATATTTGTATATTAAAAGTTTAATAAATACATTTTTTTCAAACAAATGTATTCTTACATACATTTTCATTACCAATTGTACTGAGTGATTATCCTTTTAGTTATAAGAAATGATGATTTACTTTTTATTTGTTTAAAATAACTATAATTCAGACCTGGGTTTTTATACCAATATAAGTGACACTTTAAAATTTTTAATCATATAATTTACGCAATAATAGCAATTAAGTATAATATAAGTCTAGAAGAAGCCCCTGAGTTTTTGTGTACTTACAGCACTCAGTTTATAGTTCATGCAGCATTTGTACAAATTGGTATCTTGCTTAAAAAATATTAAGTATAAAATTGTAGGTTTCATAACAGCATGGTAAACATGGCTGTTTACCATGCTGTTATGAAAGGTAAACAGCAGAAATTATTAACCTTTTAGCATACAGCATTGGGTTCTTATTCTTAGGATTCTTAGTTAGAATTAAATGGCACATAAATTATACATAAAACTAAAACTGTAAATTTCACTAATGCCATTTAATAATAAATTCAATTATTTAAAAAAATAATTTCTTTTTTTCTCTTATAATTATAAATATCATTTGTTTTTTTTTGTTGTTGGTTTTTTTTTACAAATTTATAAGTCTTATTTCATTATTTTCTTTTGTATTTTGATAAAGTAAAATAGAATGTATATCGGTTTCACCGCTAGGAATTAAAATCGCCGCCATCTTGGGAGGCCAATTTTGGCTTCAACTTTTTTTCGGTAAAAATAATAGAATCCGCTATTCAGTTATATTTTGAGATCAGTGCGTGGAACTTGGAACATAAATAAATATCCTCTCGTGTGAACGCAACTTGAACAGAAATTCACGGAACATTTAAAGAACTTTTGTACTGTCTCGCCAACTCAGAACAAATAAATATTGGGGAATAATTAATTTTTGTATAAAACATGGTGCCTATATTCAACTATTTTTAAAATACCCGGATGAGTATAAGCTCTTAATGACATTTTGCTCCTATTGGAAATTTAACATAAATATGTTAAATTTTCATTGTCAAAAGTAAATTTAAATAAATGTAGAAGAAATTTCAAAGCTATTCTTGGTTTTCCCCAACGTGTTGGAGCTGTTAATGGATGTCATATCCATATTTCAGCACCTAAAGACCAAGCAATACCTTATAATAACTATAAAGGGTGGTATTCTATTGTACTTTTCGCCATAGTAGACTGTAGATTTCATTTATACAAGTGTTGGATCGCCTGGTAGAAATAATGATAGCTATTTTAGAATTAAAAATATTTAATAAATGTTGTAAAGAGCTGGGCGGTTCTTTTGTTTCCCTTTGTTTTATAGGTGATTGAACATTTCTTTTAACACGCCATTTGTTAAAACCTTATCCTAAAAATTTGGTGTTTAGTGAAGTTCAAAAAAACTACAAAATAATTTGCGGAGCTAGAAGAGAAGTTGAGAATGCTTTTGGAAGTGTTAAAGCTTGATTCCGTGTCATTTGGAAACATATGGAATATGGGAATATGATCTTAACTTTGCTACAAAAATTTTTAATGCTTGCGCCACTTTTCATAACATTTGTAAATATTATGAAAAAATTATTATAATAAAATTGCTTACGTATCATCATGATGACAGTCTGGCTCAACCCAATACAGTTTCTACTGCTGGGAACGATGGACCAGTCAACTTTTGTATGGCGGGTACTTTGGATAGGGTTTCTTTTTCTAGCTCAGGTCCAGAACCTGCGAGGGTTCAGTTAACTCAGGTTTGAACCCGAGCTAGCCTTTTAAGGAAGTAACAAAACAAGTTTTTATAATCATGAACTGTTTTTTTTTTTTTACTTATGTAATTATGTACTTGTTATGATAAATGTTTATCTTTTTGGAACATATTAAAAAAACAAAAAAAAAAAGTACAAATGTTAAAACAAAGAATGAAACGGTATTTTAATTTCTAAATTAAATAGACTAAGCATTTTAGTTACCTGCTCTATAGATCAAGAGTAAGGTGAGTTTGGGAAGAACGGAGGTATATTAGAGCAAAAGATAGAAATAGTTAGAAAGATGGCATTGAGAAAGCGGACAGGATTTGCACACGATGTTAGAAGGTACAATATTCTGTTATGCTGTTAGTCAAACTTAAAGAGTTTACTCGATATGAACCCTTTATCAAGTAACTTTGTCGTCCTATGTACTTATGATTTTTAACCTTTTATAAAGAAATTAGCTTCTTAATTGATTGCGGGTTTGTTTTTTTAAAATGAATTTTTTTCATTAATATATTTTTTTAAATATTGCTTTTGGGTTTATTGTTCTTTTTTTTAACAATTTTTTTTTTTTAAATAAATCTTTTCATTTTTAAAATTGGCTTAGATTGCTTGTGGGTTTGTATTTTTTTTTAAATCTTTTGAAAATACTTTTTTTTAAAAAAACAGGTTTTATTTAATATCCTAACTTTTTATAAAGACTAAAAAGTAGAAAATAAAATATAGCAAAAATATTTTTTGTATTAAAGTAGAAAATTATTTTGATTTTAAGAATTTAATAATTCAGTAAACTAAAAATTGACAGGTATGTTACAATATAAACTTTTCGCAGACCTATCAATCTTTAGTTTACTGAACTATTAAATTTAAATTAAAAAGTTTATTTTCTACTTTTTAGTACAAAAAAGTTTCCTGGAAAGCTTTTACTTAACTAAAAGACCATCTTCTAAAAATTATACCGAGTATGTCAGCCAATTTAGATTCTATGGTTTACCCATTTTTTTTCAAAGATGTGTTACTGGTTGGCACAATTAATTGGTGTACAATCCTGAACATGCAACACTGGTTAGAAATCATGTTAATGTTTTGAATGTTAGCTCCCTTTCTTTTTTTACTTTACTTGATGTTATAGCAGATTTTAAATCGTTATTAGTGTTACAATCAATAGTCAATCATGCAGAGCTAGGTCATGAAACTAGCCAAGCAAGTATTGTGACTTGCAGTGGGTGTAGAATTGGGCTGTTGAACTAGCCAAGCAAGTCTTGTGACTTACAGTGCATGTAAAGCTAGGCTATTAAAATATCCAAGCAAGTGTCTTGCAGTGTGTATAAAACTAGACTGTTATACTAGCCAGCTATTTTTTATAACTAAAGTTTTATTTAAAAAAACAAAGTACAATGGTGTAGGGCAAGACTGCTACACTTGCTAGCCAAGCGGCATACTTAGCAGAGGCAGCAAGTGGAAAGCTGGACAGAGGTGATATTTAATGTAATGTATTGTGATTATAAAAATACTTTATGCTATTTGCTAATGTTTGTAAATGTTAACATAATTGTCGCGATGTATATTGTTGAAAATTTGAATATAAATAATAATTTTAACACAAGATTAAGATGAAGGCAAGGTAAAATATGTATTGCATACTTTTCAATAAACATTTTCCGCAATAGTAAAATATGACAAGGGCCGTCCCGAAGGGGGGATGTCGGGGTTGTCCCACCCCCAAAGCTGTCATTTAAGCATTTGAGTTGGCACATTGAGCAAGTTTTGAACTATAGTTGGCAAATTGCAAATATTGAGGACCTTTTTTTCTTTTTATTCTTTGGTGTTTCTAGTTGGCAAAAAATACATACATCCCCCCCCCCCCATAAAAGACCTCTTCGGGATGGCCCTGAATATAACTCGGAAGAATGCTGAAATAAATATATAGTTGTCATACTTTAACCGCTCCGAGGCAAATATCTGTTGGATTACTAAATAAAATAAAGATAAAAAATAAAACAGAACAAAGTTTCAAACCTTATAGTTAAAAAAACAAGCATACATACATGGAAACAAAGGCTTTGATATTTTAGAAGCCAAAAGATTTATATCAAATTTTATATATATTTACTTTGATATGCTGTATGCATAAAATGCTCCAGCAAAACATAAGGAAACGAAAAATTAGATATACAATGTAGCGAAGATCATTACTTTCTATCATATTTTTTAACCTATTAAAAATAGGTTACAAAATATGTAGTAAAAAATAGGTGAGAGGTGTGAATCAGACCTTACATGACCGGTTTTTCGAATCTGGACTTTCTAGTTTAATATTATACCAGATGTTTATATCTTATGACACTGATCATAATAGATAAGAAAAACATTGAAAAATATATATTAAAACAACAAAAAATATATATTTTTTCAAAAAAGTTTAAACCCAGCCATATTTATTGAATTTTACATAAATTTTATTGTATAACAAGAAATGACTTTTAAAAATAGTTAATCACTTTAGTTTACCTGGATTTCCATTTGTTATTTTTAAATTTCTAATAAACCCAGGCTGCACTTCATACCAAGGATCAGAAACAAACACATTAACATTCTTTAACTCACTTGCACCAGTGTTTTTAACAATTAAAATTATATTACTATTTAGTTCAATTGAAAACATGTAAGTCCCATTTAACATTTTTTGAGATATTTTAATTGAAGACCATTTTGCAAGTTCAATATATACTGGGTTTGCACAATAGTCTATTATGCCACTTATGTTTGAACAAATATGTAAACTTCCATTATCATTGGGATTAAGCCACACTGATGGGTTTCCATAACTTACGTAGCTATTGCTTGTTGTCAAATGAATGATATTCCGATAATAACTATTTTGGAAAGATGTTGGATTGATTTCAAAGGACACTGAATACTCTTTGTAAAGTTGTTTTATTGTTGTAACTAAATTTCCTTTAGAAAGTAGAGTTTCTTCATTCATTAAAATTTCTAAAATAAATATATTAAGTTAATAAAATAAATTTATAAAACTGAACTAAGTGAAACTTAAAAAAAGGTAACAATACAGAAAGCTTGAATCCTCCAATCTTAAAAAACTAAAAGACGTATAAAATGCATTGTATAGAATAACCTTAACCCCGTAACTCAATGCAAAATTAGATTAGTATTAGTTTAACTGTTTTTCTACAATATATAACCAGCGTATTAAGTGTAGGGAAGTCCGAGGACAATTGCAAATATTTTGGCTTATTATACAAACTATTACTTGCTAATAACGTAAAAAAATATTTAAATTTAGTAAAAAAAATTCTGTTATTATTGCATCTTATAACACTTTAATATTCATTTTCATAGTTTGCACCAATTTACCCTTGCATATGGTATGGTTTGCACCAATTTACCTTTAGGTAAGTTGACAAAAATTTTCAAAACTTCTAAGGACCCAGAAGGACCCCAAGAACTTTATTTTAAATAATAATACAAGTTGCAAATGTTACCTGAACTTATACCAACTATGACTACTCGTTTAGTTCACAAAAAAATTTGCTATTAAGGCTACAAAGCCTGAAGATTAAAAGCAGATGCAACTAGTTCTGGTCTCAACAAATTCTGTATAACCGTAGTGTTGCACAGATACTAGGGTCTATTGAAAAACAAAAACTTTATAGATAAAAAAAGTTCTTTATAATAGGTCAACCTGGCACTCAAAAGTAGCAAAATTATAAAAAAACTATTATTTTAAACTTTATTTCATTAAATTTTTATGTTTTAAAGTGAAAATTTAAGGTTAACCTACTTTTGAATAATTTTTTTAAAAATATATTAAGGACCTTTTAAATATTTAAGAGTCTTGGGGCACCTCTAAAAATAATTAATGTTCAAATTTTTAAATTCAAAGTTATTTTATTACATTGAGCAGATTTAGAGCTCAGATAAAACATTTTTTAAAAATTATTGTTTTTCGATGCATCTAAAGGTATCTAATCTTTGTGTGACACACTTATATAGTTAATATGTAAAATTATGCACATATTAACTATATTAAGCATTCCATAATGGTGCTACTCGATTTTTGAAGAAACTGTGTCTTTGGCTGTTTTTGGTAACTTCTTTTTCAATTTTATGCTTTGTGCTACGAAGACTACCTGCATGACAATAACATGTGAAAGAAGTCGTTTATTCTTGATGCCAGCTGACTTAGATCACCTCTTAATCAATGTTTAGCTATAAAGCTGAGACCAAGATTTGCCAGACGTGATTTGTAGTTCATGTTGCGCAATTGCAGAACAAGTTTGATTGCCCTGCGTTAAACCTTTTAATGCGCTTTTGTAGGAAAGAAATCCAAACTAGTGTACAGTACTCTAATATCAGCCGCACATAGGCTGTATAAAGCCTGATGAACATATTTGAATTTCATTTTTTAAAAGTTCTTTTGAGTATTCCAAGTATAGAGTTTGCTTTAAGAGTAGCTTGACTAATCTATTCTGAACATTTGAGTTTATTATTAACTAGGATATCCAATGGACTTACTGGAAGGCGCTATTCTAGACTGTTTTCAATAGCATCGATCGTATTTGTTACGGTCGATGCTATTGAAAACAGTCTAGAACAGCCTCTGCCAGTAAGTCCATTGGATATCCGTTGATAAATTAAAGTTTGAGGACCTTTTTTTTAAAAATTTTTTTTTTACGTTTTTACGGTAAATATTGTTTTTTTTGCTTAAGTCTGCCAGAACGAGGGGTACTGCCGCTCAAATTTTTTTCCTCGATTAGGCCCTGACTGGATATATATATATATATATATATATATATATATATATATATATATATATATATATATATATATATATATATATATATATATATATATATATATATATATATATATATATATATATATATATATATATATATATATATATATGTATATATATATATATATATATATATATATATATATATATATAAATATATATATATATATATATATATATATATATATATATATATATATATATATATACATATATATATATATATATCCAATATCTAGTAGGTCCATCAGGAAGAATGTCTAAACATTAAAAAATTCAAATTATAGAAAAAATAATTCACAGGAAGTTAAAAATTTATATAATTAATTATGTCATAATAGTAGTTAATTTGCAACCTGGAAGTTGCAACAACAACACCAAAAAATTTAAAAATTAATCATGAAAAAAAATTATAAAAACAAATGACCAGATTAAAATTAAGATAATTTTAATTTGGTCAATTGTTTTTATAATTTCTTAAAATATATTTATTTTCATGTTCGCCTTTAAAAATTTGTTCAGATTTTTTGATTAGTAAATTTTCTTGGACCAAATGAGCAACAATTCCAAATTTTTCTTGTAAACATACTATACATTTTTTGAAATTGTTTTTATAAGTTGGCGCTGTTTTAAAAATAGTTCAGTTTAATTTAAAATTTTTTTTTTTTCTTTTAAATGCAAAATATATTTTGACAGCAATGTCTCTTTTGAGTATTTTATATTTTAAAAGATTGTTTGCGGTTGGCATAACGTTTTTTCCATTTGCCCTCGGTTAAGCTGATATATTGTTTATCAGGGTTGTTATGCGAGGAAACAATGCATTTGTAAATAATATTTTTTGAGAAGCATTTGCCATTTATAGGGCAGTCAATTTTTTGCTTGCAATTACAATATACAGTATTTTTTTTCTTTGAGAAATTCATTTTCATTAATCAATGCAAAAATTATGTCCTTTTATAATTCTTTTAAAATTTTTTGTACAGCTATATAGCTTTCTTTACTTGCGTTTGTGTTTTTGTGCAATTTACTAGAAGAGAAATCTTTGTCTACTAATTTTAAAAAAACTTTCCTTGTTTGTTGATTTTTTCTGTATGGAGGGTTGAACCAAATTATGTTTCTATTTTAATTTTTTTCAATTTTTGTTTCGAATTTTAGTTCAAGTTTTTTAAATCGGCTTTTTTTTAAAGCATCTTCATACACATACAACTGGAAGAGATAAAAAAATTTACATTAGAAGAGTTTTGATTCAGTCTATCTTATTTAAAATAAGAATTTGTTTTAATATTTGAGGGAAATGGTTTGAATTTAAAATAATATACGACAGTGGCGAGTTTGAGGGGGGGGGGGGGACACAGGGGTAGTAGCCCCCCCTCCTTGGAACTATGTTATCTATTTTTTTAAGGCGAGTAATAAAATAAATCAATAATCTTTATATGCATAAGTTATGCATATATGCATATGCATAAGTTATGCAGCATAACTTAATTTTAGTTCGCTTTATTGTAAAAACGCACGAATGCTTCCAATAAGTTTTTAAACCATAATGCATTGTAACATGTGTTCTTAAGCAGATGGTCATACAGTTTGCATTATTGTTTATTCTTTTGTATCTGTTTAATTAATAAATATATTCAATCATTTATAATCATATATTTATTTTATTTTTATTTTTTAATTTAATTTTAGAAATTCTAAGTGATATTTTAAAGTTTTATGTGTTGTATGTCAAGCGTTATTTTAAAATTTTACACAATTAACAAATGAGCAATGATTCAATCATCCAATTGCTGCAATGCCATTGGCAATTGAGATAGTAAAAAAGCAACTACTGCGAAAAGAAAACAAGTCAATATTTCTACATATTTTGACAAGAAACATATTTTATCAGAACAGGTTAATAAAGCCAAAAACTTACCCATTCCGATACTGGGCACTTCTCAATTATCTGAAAATAAAGAAAAGAAAGCTTGCAGTGTCGAAAAAGATATTTTAGAACCTTTAACTTTTATTGAGGATATTGGTTATTATATAAGCTCAAAGTCTTTAAATCAGAATACAAGATATCGATTAATTAAAAAAAACTGTTTGCCTGGATCTGATTTTATTTATCCTTTTTCAACACATGTTAAAAAAGGCAAAGAAGTGAAACGATACTTAAATCAATCTCACTTAACAAAATTTCCTTGGTTAGCATATTTATCAATAAAATCTGGGTTATTCTGTAAATTTTGTGTACTTTTACTTTTATATTTTTTTCGTTAATAATACTGGGGGATTGAGAAATACTGAACCATTAAAAAAGTTTGTCACTGTACCATTACAACTCATGCTAAAGTTACATATATAAGTAATACTATTCAAGAAGAAATAATAGAATCCTGCAAAGAAGAAATTATTTATAAAATATTGTCAGATATTAAATGTAATAAGTTTTACAGTATTATATTAGACGAAACTACAGATGTATCGAATTCATCTCAAATGACTCTAATTTGAAGATATATATTTGATAACAAAATAAAAGAAGATTTTGTTTCATTTATAATTTGTCACACATACTTTTATAATAAGCAAAAGTCAAACCAGGATGAACAAATCAACCATAATGAAGAATGTTTAGAAAATATAGAAAGCAACATTATTGAACCAAAAATCACAGGTGATGTTCTTGGAAAAATAGTAGTTAATATTCTAAAAAGTTTAAATTTAAACTTGAAACACTGTGTTGGAATCGCAACTGATGGTTGTCCGGTTATGACATCTACAGTTCGTGGTGCTGTTAAATATATTCAATTAAATGCAACTCCAAATGCAGTTTATAGTCCATGTACCAATCATTGTTTAAATTTATCAATTACTAAATCCTCTAGTGTCATGGCAATTAGAGACTCTGTTGGTATTATTAAAGAAACTGTTAAATTTTTTAATATGTCAGCCAAAAGAAATCACGTTCTTAAAATAGTATTTGGTAAAGAAAAACATTTGATGAGTTTATGTGAAACAAGGTGGATTGAAAGACACGACAGCGTTTTGATATTTAAGAATTCTCTACACCATTTCATTAAATCTCTGAACCTTATAATCGAATGGCAAGATAATGATTCATCAGTAAAGGCCTATTCTCTTTTAAGTTCATTAACTACATGTAAATTTATAATATCATTATTTATACTCTCAAATTTACTCAATTTAATGTCACCTGCAAGTAAACTACTTCAAAGTGTTCAAAAAGACCTACATTTTGCAGAAGATTGCTTTAAGGATATTATAAAAATTATGGAAAATAGGCGGTCTAACTGTTTTATAAATTTTAAAACAATATTTATAGAAAGTAAACAACTTATGGAAAAATTGGATGTGGAACTAAAGTTACCTCGTATTACTAAGCATCAAATACACAGACCAAATATAAATACTTTATCAGTAGAAGAACACTTTAGAGTTTCTGTTTATAATCCACTGTATGATCATGTCCTTGATGATTTAAAAGATAGATATTTAAGTAAGAAAAATGTAACTGTTTATAAATTGTTAATTCTTATATCAAGCCTTGTTGCTGCTATTAAAGTGCATGATATGAATATAATTGCTGACATTATTGGTAACGAATACTCGTTTATTTGCATAGAGAAACAACAGTTTTCTTCTGAACTTGATTTGTGGATTGCAAAATGGAGTTAAAAATGAAGGTGAATATAACATCTATTTTATATTTTTTTCAAGTCTAAATTATCTACATAAGAAATTAATATTTTATTTATAAGGAGGTTATCTACGATCTGCAATATTAGATGGTTTGGATTATTGTCAAGATATATTGTTCCCAAGTATAACAACAATTTGAACGGTTTTCAAGAGTTAAAAAAAGAAACATTGAATATATATTGTAATGTTGCATTTATTTTATAGATAAATGGTTCATTTTTGTTAATACTTGTATGTTTCTATTTTAAAGATGGTTTCGGGTAAAAATTGATAGCGATTCAATTTTTGTTGATAACAACTAAAAATTAATAAACAGGCGATCTTAATAAGCTTAGTGTGTAGATAAATTTTCGATAAATTAAATCCATTAATTACGTCATGCAACTTTTTTACCCCCATAGTAACGCTTTTGTGACAAGTTCCGTACGAGTCGTCATAAAACCACTAAGCTTCCCCCCTCCCCCTTAGAATGTGACGCAATTTGAAAATGACCCTTTTGAACTTTAAATAGCCCCCCCCTACCTTGGTGAGTGATAAAACCCGCTTCTGATATACGATAATTCATCATTAGTTTTTTATAAGGCATATAAGAATTTTCCAAGAGGTTAAATGTGACATCAAGAAAATTTACAATTTTTACATTAATGTTTTTTTCAGTTTGGAAGCTTCTCTATAATTTGGAATTTTTTGATGTTTAGATATTCTTCCTGATGAACCTACCAATGGAGAAACAAATTGTTGAAGAAAAAAACTAGTTTTTATTTATATATTATTGCTCTGTTCTTTAATAACATTGAGCACCCTATAAGTAGAAAACAATAACATAATTTATGTATTAATTTTATTTATTTCTTCAAAGATATCACAATTAAAGACAAAAAGTTAAAATATTTCTTTAATTGAAAAAGTAGAACATTTTATTATAAGAATTTGTTGAAAAACTTCTGGAAAGTGGTATGACTCATCTAACTACCGTCCCATTAGTCTTCTTCCTATCATAAGCAAGGTTTTTAAATTTTAGATTAAGAAACACTTAAACTCTCATCTTGAATCTAATAACTTACTTTCTGATCATCAATATGGATTTTAATCTTATCGTTCTACTGCTGATTTGTTAATTATAGGTTCTATTGTGCATTAGTTAAATGTGGATAAGGCTATAGGTATCAACATTTCTAAAGCCTTTGATAAAGCTTGGCATGCTAATCTTCTCATAAGCTCTTTTCTTATGGTGTAACATCTTCAAGACTTCCTTGGCAATCGTAGTAAAAAAAGTGTCTTAAATGGACAGCATTCTTCTTAATTTCCTAAAGCTTTAGGGGTTCCTTATGTTTTGATTCTTGTCCCTATAAATTTTTTAATTTACAGTAATGATCTACCATTTAATCTTGTCTTGAAAAGAAGCCAAAACTCTCTGGTTACCTAGAGGGAGCATTTGTGCTAAAAAAAAGATTTCACTTCTGCTACAGTATGGGGCTCTCTGGTGAACTCAGAAAAAACTTTTTTTCAGCCAATTGTTATTGCAATAGTCTAGATCTTCCTATATTCATGATTAGTAATGTGTTTGATGAGTCTTCTAAAATTTACTCTTTCGTCCAACCTTTCTTGGAAACCATATATCAAACCCATTGTAAAATTAAGATCTGATAAGTTTCCATGCTCACCATTTCTTAATCCGGATTCTATTCCTCTTTGTATGGAATACAGTTGCCATATCTGGGGCAAATCTTCGGATGATGAGCTTTCTATTTTAAACAAGGTGCAAAAACACATTGTAAACATACTTGGACCTACTCTTCCAGCCAACCTTAAAACCATTGTCACATCCATGCAATGTTGATTCCCTTTCCCTTTTTTATAAATACTATAACAAGCACTGCACTAAAGAGCTAGCATCTATTTTCGTGTTACTTATCCTTTTATTTAAGTCTTATCCTTGTACTGTGACTGTTTTTAAATGCTCTAAAAATTTTTATTTGCCTAGTTTTTTCCTCGAATATTAGTTCTTTGGAATTCAGTTTGGAATTCCTTCATCTTGTTTTTCTTATTCGTATAATCTTTTCAGTTGTCTGTTAATTATTATTTTGTTGTATAAAATTCATCTTTTCTTTTCAGTAACTTCTAACTGTAATCATAGTTGTTTGCAACTTCAAAGCTGTTTTAAAAATAAAATTTTTGACAACACACTATTTAGCGTTAAAAAACCAATTTCCTGATTCATATAATTTGCAATCTTCTAAGTCATTTCCAAATCAATATCTTGCTTTATAAACTCTTCAACTTTCAAACTCTATTAGTGGTTGTTTGCAGCCTTGTTGGAAGTAAAGATGTTTAAAAAAAAAACTTTATAAATGCAGTCACATGACTGTATTTATAATTTTATTTTTATAAATAGAGTCATGTGTTTTTTTTGTAAATAAATGTACAAAAAATTAACAAAATTTTTGTAAAAAAAACAATTTTTTTTTACCAGAGTATTTAAATAAATCAGATTTGTAAGCATAGCACCATTCTATTACATATAAAACAATACAATCTCTTCTTCTATTAATAAATCCATAAGAATCATTACAGTGAGACCAATCACTCCATTTTGCCCAAAAAG